AAAGTGCAAATCCGCACGTACTTATAGTCACGTGCGCCGTAGATCGCACGCTTTGACGTTCTCAAAGAATCTTTGACGCTCGCAAAGATTCTTCGACGCTCTCGAAGATTCTTATAACTCCACTTTTACTCAGAAAAAACCTTCTCAAAGCATTTGAAGAATAACAACAAAAAACGTTTTCAGAAGATCGCGTAGGGGCTTCGTCACTGCTACTTAAAAGATAAGGTAAAACAGAAAGAAAATTAAAAGAATCGCTCAATGGTCATAATGGATCTGGATATGAATTGCAACAAAATATGTATATCCCAAGTTTATATGATTTATGCTGTTTTTTTGTTCATTCAGAATCCTGTTCAGAACAGAAAAAAATCCGTAGTCTCTTTAACATAGATTCGTGAAATATCAGCACGAATTTCCATATACGTGAAAGTAATAAAGGTTTTAAAACTCGCAAAACCAATTCGTTCTTTAGATGAATTAAGCTGCTATTCCTTCCTCATTCGAGTTGAATAGGATAACTATAGAAAAGAAAAACAAAATCAGGTTAATAAGCTATTTTTTCGATCTCTAAAGAATAAGACGGACTGGATATTAGCTGGACTTCACTTGATATTACATGAAACAAAAAGATTTCTATGTTTCGGTGTTTTTTCTTTTTATGAACTGGATTCTACGAGATAAAAAAAGTGGGATAAATCATAGAGACGTGGGCCATATATAAACTGCAATTGCAATTGCAGAACATATTCGGATTAGTGGTCCAAATGGTTTGTTCTGTCGCTTTACAAAATAAAGTTTAACCAATTCTTACAGATGTTTGGAAAAACTATAGCCGCCATCGCTATTAGCCTCAGTGGATTGGCACTTTTGCCAATTCTGTTTGCAGGTGTATCAATATATAATGGGATCAATACTTTTCATGATGAAGCCATGATTGATCTCAGCGATTTCAAGGTAATGCTAAAAGTTGGGATCAGAAATAATTAATTTCTCAAATAGAATTACGCGGATGACGCCTGGCTCAATATGATTCCCGAGACAACAGGATCATCCAGAAGATTTAATGCTCTTTTGGGTAGATATAGAAGATCTACAGATGAATGCGGTTGCGGCGATCAACCCAATGATTGTCCTGAAGGACCACAAGGACCTCCTGGCTCTCCAGGAGACAAAGGAGATGATGGCATTCCAGGAATACCTGGAGAAGCAGGAAACGCTGGCTCTATATCTAGTTTATTACGTGAATCTAGAGGATGTGTTTCTTGCCCACCTGGCATAACTGGACCTCCAGGACCTGACGGAGAGGCTGGACCAGCTGGGCCTGATGGAGATAACGGTGAAATTGGAGCTCCAGGATTACAAGGTGAACCCGGACAGGACGGAGAAGCTGGAGATCAAGGAACGGATGGTCAACCAGGAAATGATGGCCTTCCCGGAGCTCCAGGCGCAAAGGGAGTAAAGGGAGTGCAAGGATCACCCGGGTTGCCTGGTGCTCCTGGAGAAGCAGGACCAGCAGGAACTCCTGGCTTAGACGGACAAAATGGAGAACCTGGTCAGGACGGAGAACCCGGCTTCGCGGGAACCGATGGAAAACCAGGGCTGAGCGGAGAAAATGGTCCAGACGGAACAGGAGGAGATGCAGGATTACCAGGATCGGATGCTGCATACTGCCCTTGCCCTAACCGTTCTTTGGAGGGATTGAAAGATTTAGTTCATTCAGCAACGGAACCAGATAATGGTGGATACAGAAAAGCAGTTAGGCGCGCAAGAGTGGCAGTTTAATTGCTTATTATTATACTACTTATTTATATTATTTTCAAACTATGTACGCATAATAAAATGAGTATGCCCTAGCTAATCTTTCATTAACTAATCTCGCTCGTTGAACTTCCCGTTCGTTAGGGGTATTACCGATATCAACAATATTATTTGAATAAGAACTTGGGTACAGGAGTGAATTCGAAAATAAAGTTTTATTAACAGTCGAGATATGTTGTCTTAGAACAAATTGATATTCACAGCATTTTTTGTTCACAGAATTTATCAGTTCAGTAAGTGAAAAAATAAGACAGACCATCAAAAAATATACGATAAAACAAATGGTATTTGATTACACTGTTAAATGTTAAAACAATCTCATGCATTCAGACGGAATGTTTCCAAACGAGTTCCGGAATAGCCGAATTTACGGGTAAGTTCTTCATAGTCAGCTCCTAAAGTTCCAATACGACATCTAAAAGGCTCTCATTACTCTAAATACCGCTTTAAACACTCACTTATAAAAAAGAGCTATATCACGTCCTCTTTTAGCCCATTCCTTAGCTTGGTATAGAGGTTCCGGAAGAGATATTGGTTTTTCATTAATCTAGATAAAAGCATGAATGTGATCTAACTTCAGAGCTGCTTTACCTGATGAGTGAAGCATAAGCCCAACATGAATGATTGTAAACTATCCATAGACCAATTCATTTCATCTATCAAAGTCGTATACAAGGGGATTCTGCTAGAGCCCTGAGAAATCGTATTTGTGATGAGAGAAATATAAATGTTCTTATACCTTGATTACTTTATGAGCCTGCATAAAGAACTCTGTGATATTAGGACGAACAATCTGACAATCCATGACAGTAGCTACATTCACATTATGAACTTCTCTCTCCACTCCTCTGGAGGGCTCAGATGAGCAGCGTTCTCGGAAACGGAAAAATCTGACATTGTGCATAACTGTGACCAAATTGAATTGAAACAGTGGTTTCCAATTTGACAGATTATGAGCTCTAGCGTACTCAGTACAGCTCTTCTTGATTTCAACCAATTCATTATCCACAATCTTAACATTTAATGTCACTGTCATAGCTGAAAGAACTCTTACATAGCTGAATTGCGAGTCGGCCACGCCTTCTCGAAGTAGAATGATTTTTTCGGGAACATGCTTGTTGCTTCTTACAAACAAATTCAATACATGCGTGATTATTTTGTTTAAAACTGTCAAATCGACCTAGAATCGTATACAATAGAGGAGAAGATATGCACCAAACTAACATATTGATTCTGAGGGTCTTGGAGATGAAAATCTCCAATGAAATTTTCGTTTAGGGTGGAGCCATTAAACGAATACTGCAAAAGAATACTTTATATGAAAATCGTGTTCACTCTAACTAACCCCAACAACACTTGGAAACTGCATAGATTCGTCATACCCACTTTGACCTCTGTGTAGAACATAAGAGATCACAAGAGTTTTCTTATCTGATATCCAAATTTTCGAGCTGCACATTTATAATTATTAAATGATGATTGGTTTTCGGTCACCTGTGCACATCGGGCTTAATGGTGTGGTTTAACCCACCAGTTTTCAGGTTGGTCTTGAGACAAATGTTGGATAACGTCCTGAACAAGCATAATATATATCATAAAATTTGACACAAGCTATACATTGGCTTAACAAGTGGTTCTCCTCTTTCATTTTTAATGTTCTTCGAAAGAACATGTTGAGTAGGAATCAAATACTTCCTCTCATAGTATTTTAATTCTCCTAAAATAGATAATTGTTGTAGAAATTTGAGAAAAAACAAAACCATGAATGTCGTCATCGTCTGCTACGTAAAAAAGGATGGTTCTCTTCTTTTCGGTGTCGATAAGTTCGAACTCCTAGGAAGTACCTGTGTTCGAAAAAAGAAACATTCTCAAACAAACCTTTTCTAATTCTTCTCTTCTAATGCATTTCGACCGAACGTTTTGGAATACTGATCCCTTACTTTGTAATTCCCTCCTAACATTTTCGATGAAATTACTGGAAGAATAGTTTAGAAACCACCATAAAAAAATTTAGAAACCTAACAAGTTCTTGGAACTCGGGCACGTCGAACAACGCGATTATTTGGAATCCTTCAGCTGGCTTGAAAAATTTGTCTTTTGCCATCCAAGCACCCTGTAGTGGAATACGACATGAAGTGACTTTAGATAAGCTGAACTTACATCCGCATTGGGCGTTTTCGTTATTCCATTCGCATATATGAGTTGGGGATTTTGACGATAGAAAGCTTGTACCACCATCGGATCTTTCTGGATGGATAGTTGGAAACTAAATTTGAAGTAAATGAATCTCAAGACAGTTATCGCTCATACCTATCTAAAACCTCATTCTGAGATCCATCCAATTTTATTCTTTTAACCATACAATTGGTTTTATCATGACGAACTTGTGGTCGTTCAGCTTGGATCTACAACGGCATTACGTTCAACCTCTGCACCCAAAATAACCTGATTTTTGGAAGCTTTAGAAAACCTCGATAATCTCACTCGTTGGTGAGGAGCAATAGACAAATCCTCAATAACGTTCATCATCGGTGTGAAACGTCTGTAAAAGAGAGGAACTTCAATGGATAAGTTGAATAATGCAAACCCATTCTTTTCTCTTGCAGAAACAACAGCAGGGAAGTTTTTTTGGCATCTAATATTCTCATACAAAGATGCCAGAGGAACTTTAACTTTTCCTTTATCGCTAAGAAAAACGGTAAAAAAAAAGATAACAAGAATAAAACGAACGTTGTCTTCGTAACTTCCAGCTGTGAAACAGTTTCGTTTGAAAACTTTCTGAAAGTCAGAGATTCTTTTCGTGTTTGAGATTCCAAGCGGATTCCTGAAAAACGAAAAGATTTTTTATTTCTTCCATAAGAGGATATATAAACCGTTTAGGGATTGTTTTACTTTTGCTTGAACGGTAGGTGGAATCCCACTAGATATATTGGCTCTGACATTGCGAGCTGTGTTTGCAATATAATCTCGAAGAAGCATTTGTGGTAAAAACTGTCCCATACGATCTGATTTTGAAATAGCAGTTAAAAATTATTGGTAGAGTATACTTACAATCCATCAGTATGACTGGTACAATTTTGTTTCTCAGTTTTCCTTCAATAATTCTGAAAAAAAAACCATTTTATGTGTGCCATTCAATATGGAAGCCTACCTTGTTGATTTCCTCAAACCGTCATATTTCATCTGCATATCAGGAGTTATATCACAATTTTGATCTTTGGGATATATGACTCCTCCACCAAAGAATAAGAAATCCCCTCTTAAATTTCAAGAGTCAACTCTAAGAACTAGCTTAACTCTTACGTGCTGGCTGCTTTCATACTAGTGATTATATCAAACGCCTGGCTGTGCGAACAATCAGAAGAGTTTAACTTGCCATCCATCTGAACGTTAAAAAACGATAGAGAAAAGCATTCAGGTCATCACCTGTGAACTTTCGAAACTCGTAGATTGAATTTCTGAATGGCCATCGGCTTTCTGAATAATCAAATCCAGACTTTTGAGGTTTCTGAGAGTCAAGAGCTTTTTGTATGGTTCAGCGAAATCATCAGGACTCAGTGTCAAGAAACCTTCCTTCACAAAAACATCTAGTTAATAGGTCATTGTCTAATGGCACCACCTTTGGCAAATGTTTGGAAATTTCCTTGTAAGTGTAGAGTAATTTGTTTCCATCATAAGCAAAAGGTTTGCCCGATTCACACATATTATTATCCTCCATAGCCTTCTTCATTATGTAAAACTTCAACTCAAACAAATTCTGAGATGAAGAACTGAAAGAAATTGATTGTTCTTATGCAAAGATGCTGTCACTTACTCGTCTCTATTCAGAATGAGTTCTGATCTTGAACCATCTTCAAAGTTCAGGAAGAACGCAACGTCATAGAGGTATATCTTCGAAGGTTTAACCTTCAACTCATACGCATTAGTTAGTAATGGTATTTCCTGCAAAGAAAGCATTACTGTTCGTTTTTTGTAGGAAAACCACCTTACATCCTTTACGATTAGCAACTGGCTTCCTAGGCGTAAATGTCGAGTTATTTTTGAGTGGGATTCCCAGAGAGCTCAAGTCTAATGGCGCCTGTAGTGAACAAATAATCAAATTACTCATGTTGTACATCGTACATTGATTGGAATATCCTCAAAGGAAGGTGCCTAGAAAATTTCGAAGTTATCAAGTTGAAGAAGGTGAAAAACATACGCGGCGTGACATTCCTCTGAAAGCACCTCCACGTCCGCCACCTCGGTATCCTCCTCTGTCTCCATAGTTGGAGGAATTACCACGAGAAAAGTTTCCACGGTTTCCTCTGTTCATGATATCTGTAAATGACAGAGTATTCACAAATCACGAAATGGTCGAGCTCTACGATAAAAACTGCAATCATCAAAAAATTATAGATAAAGAGTTAATGAGCTTATGACTCATATTTCGTAATACGAGATTGCGAAATGATGTTCGCCACAATTTATTAAAGATCTACGATCGATTCAACAGTATTGTTTATTTTGAGATGACCTGACGTTTTTATTACACAAGTTTGTTTCACAACAAATCTATCTTTTAATCTCTTGGGTAATAAGAACTTTTGCCAATGCCTGTTGTTCACCAAATGGAAATATAGAAACACGAGATTGGATAAGGAAAAAAGTGAAAAGCTTATAAAAGACTTGACTGCCTTCACCTTTGATGTTAAACTTCAGGATCTTCAAGGTTCTATCTCTCATTCTGCCGTGGTCTCTGGCAGATCTCGATGATTCTTACAGTTTTTCATTTTTAAACCATCAGCATTCCATATATATAAGAACAGCTTGAAATGATGAGGCGAGATACGTTTTACTTTCTTATTTAGGCTCTCACATCACCAAAGTGAAAGTTGTCCTGAAGGACGACCTTCTCAAAATCTTTTTCATCTGCCATTTCATTAGCATAATAAAGCGGTTTGAGCTTCACCATCTTTCTACCACCTCAAAAATGTCTGACATCTAATCCTGTTTATTTTTGTTTTCATTAATTCATCTTTGAGTGTAAGAGATTTGCCAGCAAGTTCTGAAATGCTAGACGTTGTCCTGCTTACGAAACTATACATTAGTAGAAGTAATACCAATGACCTAAAGCCATAATGTGAAACAGTTAATCTGAGGCTGTTTTGGCGCCATTCCGTCACACTGTTGACCACGGAATAGTTTCAAAAAGAAGCCTACACAACCAGATCAGAAAATAAATAATAGTACGATTGCTTTGATTGGATTAAACAATACTTTCTCAAAAAAATATCCACTCTCTATATCTTCCTTCTCACCTTTTTCTTCGGTTAATGTCGTTCACACCATCAACTTAAGATAAAGAGAAAGGAGAGAAAGAGATATTCATTTAGTTATATGTACATATTTGGTAATTCACTTGATACAGTCATCAACCGGTTTCTGCTTTCATCTCACCAAGTGCTTCTCCCTCCCTTAGACAGATTTTGATGGCCAGTTCATGCCGTTCACACCTATCTCTGCCATTCCTCTCTCTTTCACATTTTGTTCACTTTCAGTGACAATTTTTTTTCTACAACCCTCTTTCTAACTTTCTTTCCAAACTGAAGCTCGTATCAAACTTTCAAACAGAAATCCCTTTTGACAGTCATAAACGAGATAAAACCGGCATGAGGTGAAGGATTTAGCCAAAAACTCCTTCAAGCGCTTTTCCTTTTCCGTACAATAACTCTTTCTAACTAGTTAAATACCAAAACTTTTCTTGCTAGTCCAACAGTTCTGTACTTTGAATAATTCAATTCTCTACTAAACTGATTTCAGAGCTCATTCATATCGACACGACGATTAGCTCAAAAATTCCTCCTGTCAGGAAGAATTTGAAATAGTCAGCCCGACCATGAAGTCGTCGCTATGTTTCATCATTTTATCACTTTTTAACTACACTCAGGTATCTCACATACATTTCCAAAATAATATATGAAAACTTATGAAGGCAATAAGAGAGAAAGAGAGAGAGAGAGAGAGTTAGACATAGAGCGAGTCATAGACAGATAGAAAGAGTAGCAAAGGATAAGCCTTGAGGACATTTCAAAGGAAGAAACTAGTTGGCAGCTTGCTGCTTTTAGATGTTTACAACGTGTGTTTTGAGAACGAGTATATGTATCATCGTCAGTTCGAAACACAATTGTATAAAATAACGCTCATTATCTTGTTAAAATCTTCAACTAAGACAGGAGACGAATATTAGTGAGGCAATCGATCTGCGGAGTGTGTAAATGGGTCCTTTGAAAAAGAGAACGCTTTGAAATAGTTTTTCACCGACACCATGTGTTGCAAAAAGTCCTACTATGAGTTTAAGGTTGAAAGGAAAATAAATAATAATCGGAATAAATGTAAAAGAAAGTCAATAACATCATAAACTTATTTCATCTGCTAATGTTCATTCATATGGCATTGAAAATACAATTTATCATCGAACAAAAAAAAAAAAAAAACGCCAATCGATATTGACGCTTGCAGGGTCAGGATTTCATGTCACTATTTGCGCCTTTCCTGGGCAGCGGATTGGGTGGAAGTTCCCCACTATCCGGAGGTTCTTCTCCCGGAGGCGGAGGATTGGGAGTGAATATTATAAAACCAATTACCTTATGATGAACATATCTAATTTCAGTCCTTATTAGCTGGTATTGGTAATAATGGAGGGCCCGGCTCTAATTTGCCATTCGCAGATTTATTCAATTTGGGTGCTGGCTTATTAAACGTATATGATCATATAGCTCACATACATTTCAAACAAAAAAATAAATTAAGAAGAGCCCAGCTAACCAACCAGGACCACAACAGAAACCTAGACCGACAAATCGAGGTGGAAACAGGCCGCGTCCCAACCCTCCACCTCCTACTGCTCCAGTGCCAGATGCTTCGGATTATGACGAGCCGTTATCTAAGGTTTTGCATAATATTAATCAAACATATTAGAAGAGCAGTTTAAAACATTAGAAAATACTTTTAGACTCTACCATATTTGGGAAGACAACAAAAAAATCGAAATGTCAAAAATAATCATCAAAGACCTCGAAATTCACAGAGAAAACCAAAAAACAAATCGAGACAAACAGCGAGACCTCAACGCCGAACGGTATCGTTGATAGTTTTGAAAACAAATCCTTTGTTTCTGCTTATAACATTAGCGCTTTTCTTGCATTTCCGATAAGACTAGTCTCCCAGTGATATCTCGATCAACGAAACAAATACAGCCAGCGTTAACTATGCTTATTTCTGTTTAGAACTTAGAACAACTTTCAGATCCAAAGCGATCCCTCCAGACAGGAGCTTCTTCCAATGACGGATACGGCGCCACAGTCACAGGTCTGATAACAGTCCAATTTTTTGTTGCTTAATTTGTCAGTTTGCTCGGGCTTATCGCATAGAATTCAGTCACATTCACAACTTTGATAATTTAAATTTACTCTCTGAAATGTTCACTTTAGACTCAAAAGCCTCCTGCCCCTCCTCCACCCAAATCACTCACTTGGCTTGAGGGAGGTTGGAACGGAAATTGAAATATCAAAGTAATACCTAATTTCCAGAAGAAGATTATGATGACAATATTGATTTGAAACTGACAGGAGCCAGAGCAATTCAACGTTCCCCAAGACGTGTTCAAAGTAAAAATTTAGATGTAACTCCTACTTCGAACAATGAATCTCCACAACCTATCGGACGTAGGCAAACGCCTTCATAATTGCTTTTGTTAGAGAAAGTAGAATCGATAGTCTTCTTTATTTACTTAAAAAAATAGTAGTCAAGCATAATATTCATATGATTATAGCGTATAATAATCTTGATTTTAAGGAAGTGTGCCGGTGGGACCAAACCCCATTTATCATCGACCAAACGCCCGGACATGGGTTCGTAATGACGTTACGGGTCCTCCGATAGGGTCAGTGAAAAATATATTCACATTTTGAACAAAATATTTATTTTTTCTTAGAAGTTATTTAGAACTAAAATAGAGAATGGTAGTAAATGTTTAGAAGCTCTAAGAGCTACCATTTGTGTACATGAAAAGTCATAAATCCTTCTTTTTCCTTTTTTTGTCCTTTCGACAAGGCACATTACGTTTATGTTTCTTTTCAGTCAAAATGGCCAGCCTTACTACTATCAACAAGCGGCTCCAACAACCTATTATCAGCCTGTATATAACCAAGCTTCACCCATTCAACCTTTTGTTGTTCAACATGCAGCTCCTGTTCAACCAGCTCCAAATCCTTTGTTCCCGAACTTTGTTAATTTGTTTCCAACTCTTCCACCTCCTACCATTGCTGCTCCTCCACCACCTGGTGGACCAACTTTACCTCCATATATTCCAAAAAGCGATTCGAAACTCTTAGCTCATAATGCTGCAAGTGTGAGTACTGTCGCAGATACCATAAAACCCTTGTCGTTTGCTTCAGATGATTCGTGAAATAGTTACATTCTCTGATGGTCATCGCGGTGGACAGCAAGACTATTCAGCTGTTCAAAGTTTAATGGAGCATTTTTTTGAAAGTATGGCTTCTCCACCTGGATCTCAACCGGCAGCTGCAGTTCCTGCTTTCGTATGCTAATCTTTCTCATATAACATTCATGTTCACGTTTTTAAGGATTCTCCTCAACTATTGTCTCCTCAATATGATGGAACTGAACTTGGAGCTAATCGTCCATTAACAAACAAATTGTTTGAAAGTGACATGGTTCTAACTATGGACCAAATGAAGGGGTAAGCCCAAAAGGAAATAAATTGAATGAAAGTTCTTCAAGTGTCATCTTGGCCTCCGAGCAAAATCATCGTGGTGGTTTGCGTCGTGGAAAACGAAAAGTTATCACTGGATCTGTTTACCGTTGGCCGAAGGGTCCAATTCCTTATCGTTTCAAAGGTGGTGACGGTAATAGTGGCGAGAAAATGAAATGATGTTCTAAACAAACAATTTGAAGATAAATGGAAACAGTTGATTCGATCAGCATTACATCATTGGGAGAGTGAGACGTGTGTTCGCTGGAAAGAAAATGCCCCAGGCAAAGATTATGTTGTATTTTTCCGCGGCGGTGGATGTTATTCAAGTGTTGGAAGGACTGGAGGATCTCAACTCATTTCAATTGGATATGGATGTGAAGATGTATGGAGAAGCCTATTTTCATTCTCAAACATCATATTCTTTTTCAGAAAGGAATTGTTACTCACGAAGTTGGTCATTCCCTCGGATTTTGGCATGAACAGTCTCGACCTGATCGAGATGAATATATATACATCAAGTAAACACTTCCAAAAAAAAACAAAGATAATTTAATTATTTTTTTAAGGAAAGATTGGATTATCAAAGGTACTAATGGGAACTTTGAGCGCAGAACAAAGGATGAGATAGAAGATATGGGTCTGCCCTACGATTTGGGCAGTGTCATGCACTATGGATCATCGGTTAAACTGAAAAAGCAATAAGATTTCATTATTAAATTTACAGGCATTCACTAAAGACTGGGACGAAGTCACAATCCAAACAAGAGACAAAAACTATCAAAGAACGATTGGACAGAGAGTTCAACCTTCTTTCATTGATGTGAAACAAGTCAATCGTTTGTATTGCAATGGTTTATCTCATGACACTTTCTTATTTTTTTATTTATTTTTTCAGAAGTGTGTCCCAAAGTATTGAAATGCCGAAATGGAGGATACCCTGACCCCAATAATTGTAAAAAGTGTAAATGTCCCCCTGGTTTAGGGGGAACTCATTGTGATTCCATTCCTCAAAGTTGGTCAACAGATTTGATCAGTCACTAACGTTTTATTACTTAAGGTGAAGGAGCATGCGGAGGAGATCTGGTTGCAGCTCCGATGTGGCAGGAACTTGGACATCGTGGAAAGAAACGATGTTATTGGAGAATTCGAGTAAGCAGAAACGTGAACAACGATATAGTATAGCTTCCTTCATTTTTCAGACGGATAATGCAAGAATTAAATTCATATTAACGAATGTCACCTATCGATGTGAATCTACATGCAAAGCCTATGTAGAAATCAAGCATAATTCTGATTTCCAACAAACAGGATTCAGAGCTTGGTAAGAAGGTTATTATGAAGATATTTGATATAAAAGAATTTCAAGCTGTCCTGAACAGGAATACACAGTAACATCAGATCAATCAGAAGTTTTAATCTTTACTGATCCTACCATCTTAGACTATGAAACAGGCTTCAACATCCGATTCATCAAAGGTTTTTCTTTCTTTTTGTATAACTTACGCTTTGTTTTTTTTAGATTCTGGTCTTCCATTGCCCAAGCCTCCACCAGCTAAATGGGTACCAGGACAAGAAAATCGTGGGTTCCGCGGTCAAACAAGTTCAGGAGGTGCTGGAGGAGGTCCGGATACTGTAGAGAAGTTCATCTTGAACATTGTACCTAAAATCAGGTATGTCAAATAGAGACTGACTATTAACATATATCCTTGTTAAGAGATGCCCGAAGGCCGCTAGAAAGCTTAGCAAGCATAGTAACAGAATATTCATTAGCTAGCTTATTAGGAATAAGAAACTGATTCCTTTCTTATATTACTTCTCACACTCTCTCAATTTCTCTCGCTCTTTCTCTCTTCCTCTTTCATAAAGAGCGGTGAGAAGAGAGAAACTATCTGTACATTTGATTTCCATATTTATGAAATTCGGGTCAAAGTGAAAATAAATGATTTTTGTTTTAACATTAAAGACATATGTTTAGAAGAAGTGTAAACGATTCCGGAAACCGTATTGAATTGAAAATCTTTTCCAGATGTTGAAAGAACTTTTAATTCATATTCATATCTTTATACTAAACAATCTTTGGAAGTTTGAGGCTTTTCCATAGATGATGGAGAACTAGAAGAGGGAAAGCAGAGAATGAAGAGAGGGATGAAAGGAGGGTCTCAAACGAAAAAGAGGGAATCTAACACATATTCATTTAGACATAGAGAAGGGGGCACAGCAGAGAGAAGATTACGTAAAACATTGAATTGAAGAGAAAATGACAATGAAAGATTCTATTAAAGACTATTCTATTAGTAGAGAAACAGAAAACTGAGAAAGGAAACAGATTATAGCAGAGCACAAGGCGTGGCTTCTGGTTCACCGTCTTCAAATCGTCGTCAGTTGCTTCAAACTTTCTATCTTTTTAGCTCCGCCCATATTGGGAAGCAGCTCACGCACTACGTGCTCACCCGACTCCTCTTACTACCTTATTCATTCATTTTAGTTCAGAAATTGAAAAGTGATAAATATTATTTTTATTTATCAAAATGCTTCTATGGCACCTACTATCCATATCATTTTATGAAATAGCAGCAGAAGCCTTAAGGTTTGTTTTCATTTCTTTCCTCTCCAACGTAACTTCCAACATCTATGCCATTGCTCATGTTATAGTTATCTTGTCTATTCTAAACTATCAATATTCTGTAAACAAAGTATATTGTGTTTCTTTTCTTCTCTTCCCTTCCACCTTTAGTTGACCATCTCCTTAAATCTCCTCAATTCATTTGCTACATTCCAAATCCTTCTTCTTTGTAAACTATCTCTTCTTCAACAAGAGTCTTCCTCAACTTCCATGACTGCTTTCAATTTATGACGTCAACAAGTTCAGTTTCGAAAACTTAATCGATTTCAATCTGACTGTTAGATCAGAAAACTTTTTTTCAGATTTATTAATAACGAAACAACCTGGAACTCATTCTTCTCTCTCTACAACTTTCTCTTTCTCTTGAACTGTTTCTAATCTTTTAGCTTCTTCTACTCTCTCCCATCAACACACTCTCTACCTTCTGCAAAGTTTTTTCTTCATTCTCAATTGAGTTTATTTTGTTAATTTGATTCAAAAAACTCAACAGATATTTCTCGGAAATCCTCAAAATATGAAAAATCCAACTTCCTTCTCTTTAAGAATTTTAAAAAAAAAATTTGTTCTTAAAGTTGAGAAAAGATGGAGAATAGATGATTAAAGCTTTGAATGGAAGAAGCAATGATTAGGGTCGATTGTTCATTCCTCTAAGCGACAAACGATAGGTTTTTCATTTCTGTTGCTCATCCCATTCAATAGAATCATTGAAATACATTATAAAAAATAGTCTTTATCCCTACTAAGAAGAAGCTTGAGATGAAGCTTTTCCAATTTGTAACGTGCATAACGTCTTACTTTCGTCCTTCCAGTTGGTTGAGTTGCATAAGATAACAATCAAATCATTAACTGGGAGGAAAAATAAAAAGCAACCGTTCAGAATCGAATAAAAAAGTAAAAAATAGTAAGAAAAGAGAATCTTTGACGCATTTTTCACGTGATTTATGCAAATGAGTAGAAGGAAGCCAATGATGAAGCCTATTGATTATGTATATATGATATACATAATATAATGAAAACATTAACCTTATCCCCCCTCTTGTTTGGTATAAATGGAATAAAATAAAAAAATAAAAAGATTTTGCTAATAGATGGAAGTAGATGATGATGAGGAAGAAGTAGAAGGAGTTGTCTTCATATATTGTCCTGAGGGAATTGAAATTAAAGAGACAAAAAGGCCAATTGAAAGACGTGGAAAAGAAGATACTTTTAAAAGTAAATGATAGTAACGAGAAAGATAACGAAATATAAGGAGATGCGAGATAGAAGAAGCTGACAATGGAATAGGAATAGTTGGAATGAGATAATGGACATGATGAGCTTATCCGGTTGCTTATTGGCCGTCGTCTTCTTCTTTTGCATAAATGGATTGTCTTGCAAGCACTCAATTTCACTACTCAAAGCTATCGTTGTGTAGGAGAGAAAAAAAAGATTTTTTTTCTGTTAAATAGATAGACAGGGAGACAAATTGAGCAAAATGTGTGCAAAAATGAAATTTTTTTCATCATTTCCAGATGCTATTCATGTGCATCAGCCGAGTATCGAATGCTGCTTGATCGAAGCTCAAGTTTCGGTCGAACAGTGAGGTAAGTGATCATTCAAATGAAATATTCGATGAAATAAATTTTATTTTAAAGAAATCCACCACATTTTGATCGTTTTTGTGATTCGGAAGAGTCAATCAAAGCCATAGCTCCCATGGAACCATGTATGAGTACATGTATCACTGTATATGAGCCGCAATTCTTCGGAGGTAAAAGTTATTATTAACATGAGTATCATATAGTAACACATAATAACAATTAAAGGATTACAATCAGTCAACCGGCCTTTCCTGTTCATTAGAGGGTGTGCTGATCGAATATTCGAATCCATGACGATACGTCCAAGAGAGGTAGAGTCTTCAGGTGGTCAGTTCTACTAAGCATTTGACAGATTGACTTTCTACATCAAGCACCCATATGTGTGTCATTACATATGTCAGACATCTATCCACACGTGCAAGCGAATGAAGTTGTCAAAGTATTAAATATATATTCAATAAACCTCTAAGACCTTCTGATGATTGCAGGTGTGTTCATGTACCGACAATGGATGCAACTATCGAACATCAGCTGTTAACACAGCATTACACACAACCATGCACATATTCATATTAATATTATTATTTATTTATTTATATTAATATTGTTTTTTTTATCTTTTTATGCTCAGGTACCGGTCATTAAAATCTTTTCTTTCAATAGTTCATAATGAGGACAAACTTCCAGCACAGATGATTCATGTGAAGCCATATAGAGAGTGTGTGTGTGTGTACGTGTTTATGCGTGTGTGTTGTCTTTGCAAGATAACAACAGAGCCATAGAAAACAGATTTTTATTACAATTGAGAGACACGAAGAGCGAATAGAATAGAACTAAGAAATTCGCTCTTTTACATGTTGTAGTCGTTCTCATAGGCTACTCTTCAACAATGTACAGGAGAGGAGCATTGGCTTTAGCAAAAAAAAACATTTTTTGTACTTTTTTGTTTGTTAAGAATAAACATTTTCTTTCTAAAATGACTATAATTGGCAATATGAACAATCATCATATCGTTATCATTCGCTATAAGGGTGTATATTCGGGTTTTTTTTATAATATTATAAAGAAGAAAGATATATAAATGGAAAAAAAACAAAGAATGACGACATGAACAACAACGGTCTCAGTAAATTCGGTTGAAGATAGATGATTCCTTTTTTTTTTTGTTATTTTTTGTTCTTTCGAAAGAATAAAAAAAAGACAAAATTTCATAAATTCATTTTTTGCTTCTTTTTTTTGTTTCGTAAATAGATGGGAGGAATAAGGCAAAAAAACCATATAAAATAACATTTCTTCTCATCTGTTACTCCCAGCACAGATGAGCATGGAAGAGCAACGACGAATAATATTAATGAAAAATAAAAAAAAAGTAATCATAATCATCATTTATCATATCATCGAGTCATATCGTCATCGTTTTATAAAAATTTTCTTTTTGTTTTGTTGGGAAAATAAAGAGAGAGAGAGAGAAGGAGAGCGGTTATGAAGAGATGGAAGATGGCAACCGGTGGATGTCGTTTAATAGTCGTCCTCCATTACGTAAACCTATAAAAGGGTTTATATATAATTGTATGATTATAATATTTAAATATATCAATGTATAAGTACTGTTCATACCATTGTGATGGATATTTCTGTGTTTATGTATGTTGTTTATATGTGGTTGTTGATGTCATAGGTTTGTTTAGAGAAATTAATGAGAACATGATTAGTGACAGTCTTCTGTCAACTCTACATCTGCAAGAAAGAGTCAAAATGAACACTTAGAACAGAGAGAGAAGATCCTGAAATTTTCATAAAAATCTTCTTGTAATTGATGGACGTGCAAAAGATATAGTTCAGAAGAAGAAATGGGAAGCTATAGTACTAAGAGGTGTTAATTCAGAATGAAATTTCTATTGTGCTTCTGCTAGCTCATGCCCTGTGTATGTGTGTGTGTATTCTATTAGGAGTAGGAGAATAATAAAAGGAAAAAACATGCTTTTTCCTATTCATTTTCATATTTTCCTACCTTGCTAGATCCAGCCTTTCCGGTGACAACGGATCCACGGTGCTTGGCACGGATCAAGTGAAGGCTAGACTCGGCCTGATCGGCACGGCCTTCAGCATCTTCCAACTCGTGTTGGTATCGTCTTACTCGTTGCAAGTTCTGCATGGTAACAGCTTCCTGAAATGTGAATGATCTCCTCATGTAACTCGAATAGCCAACTTACAGCCTCAGCAAGCTGTCTCTTTTGGATGTTGAGCTTCTCAAGGAGACGATCAGCGGTATCTTGAGCCATAACGAAGTTCTTGTGTTCTTCGTCGACAAGTTGTTGGACTTCCTTGATGCGGCGATCCTTCTTGCGAAGAGCGTTTTGGGTTTCCTTGTGTCTGAAAAGATTATGTAGTCTTCAACTCAGTGTTATTTCAGATTACCTGCGGGTTTCCTCATCGAGGGCAGTCTCAAGATCACGGATGCGGGTCTCAAGCTTGCAGATAACACGCTTTCCTCCGAGAAGGGCAGCGGCTTCGGCTTCTTGGATTTGGACTTGGAGTTGCTTGACTTGTTCTTCGAGAGATTTGCGAAGAGCATCAATCTTCATGGAGTGTTCTTGTTCCTCATGGAGTTGTTCCAAAGCACGGGCGGCATCAGCCAAAGCACGGTTGGCACGCTCATCAGCGGCATGGAGTTCCTTGGTGACTTCATCGAGATCAGCTTGAGCGGTGGAGAGTTCAGTCTCGAGTTTGTTCTTGATGGAAGTAAGGTTGTTGTTGATGGATTGGAGGTCGTTGATGCGTCCGTTAGCTTCTTCGAGGTCAACTTCAGCTTGTTTGCGGGCACGAACGGCGTTATCGAGAGCAGTCTTAGCCTCTTCGAGTTCGGCGGAAAGAGCAGAAACCTTGCGTTGAGCAAGAGCATATTGGTCGAGAACTTGTTGGAGTTGACGTTGGGTATCTTCGAGGGAAGCTTGGAGAACCTTAAGTTGTTCAGATTGCTTCTTGATGGTCTTTTGGGCTTCAATGTTGGCACGGTTGAGGTTATCAACGGTCATCTCGAGCTCAGCGATTTCAGCTTGGTATTTCTTCTTCAGACGAGAAATCTCGGCCTTCATACGAGCCTCAGCATCAGCCAAAGCAGCGGTGAGTCTGTCGATCTCGAATTGCATGTTCTTGCGGAGAGATTCCATTTCTTCTTCCTAAACAGTATTCTTTATAATCAGTACATATGTTTGTCTTGCCTTCTCTTGGAGACGACGTTCCATTTCGATACGAAGAGCTTGAAGCTCAGCCAAAGCGCGCTGAGCGCGGTTTTCGGCTTCGCGACGTTGGGCATCGGCTTCCTAAATATTTATTTTTTTTCAGACCATCAGAAATATATTTACCTTGAGAGCGGTTTGAAGCTCCCTGATTTCTCCGGCAAGACGGGCATTTTCGAGGTCGAGCTCGTGCAGTTTGCGATTGGCATCGGCAAGAGCCTCCTTGGCCTCGTGCAACTCGTCTGTAACAATTAGGTAAATATTGTTTATTTATAGATTTTTTCTACCGTGGAGCTTCTTGTTCTCGCGAGCGAGAGCTTCCTTCTGTTCCACGGCCTTTTCGTACAGGTGCTTCATCTTCTGGAGCTCGGCCGTAACGGCACGGAGCTCGCGTTGAGCAGCCTCCAATTCAACGTTGAGCTCATCAATGCGGGTCTGAAAAGCTCACATTAAGAACAATTTATTGATTATTATGAAATACCTTGAGTTCAGTGACTTGTCTTTCGAGTTGTTCCTTAGCGCGCTCGAGAATGGCGATAGTGTTTTGGGCCTTCTCCAAGTCGACGATGAGAACCTCGACTTCGGATTGGAGACGACTCTTGGCCTTCTCCAACTGACTGATCTTTTGGAGCATAATCTCAATTTGCTCCTCATATTCAGCCTGCTTCTGGAGCATCTTCTTGCGAAGATCCTCAACTTCTTCGTGGTGAAGAGCGACTTCAGCGTCGAACTTGCTCTTCCACTGGGTGATTTCAGTGTTGGCCAAGTTAAGCTTGTGCTCAGCATCGGAGCGAGCAGCAGATTCCTCATCGAGAGCAGTACGAACAGAATCGAGCTCAAGTTGAACTTGATGGAGTTGAGATTGGAGTTGAGAGCGTTCCTGGAGAGAAAAAGAAATAATAAAACTGAATGCAGCATTAGTCAAGGCGATTTGGAAAGAATCCCCTTTGAATAAGATTGAAAGTCAAAAATTGCAAAATAATAGAGAATTTTCTCATTAAATTTGGCTTCATCGTCGACTCGAATTGCTTCAGAATCGTCTAAAGCACTCTGACTGATTACGTCAATTCATGTAATAGAATACGTCAAATGGAAGTGTCTAAAGTAAACACCAAAGATTTTTTATTTTATTTAATAAAAATTCAGTTAAAGCTTAAAGCTTTAAGCTAAAGGAAACTTCGTATTCAATTATTTAGTCAAATTAATGACTAAAAAAGGCAAATTGCTCATTTCCTCCGATCAACATAATGATGCCCTGAGGATATTTGTAATTTACTTTTAAGCTCAAAACAAGTCTTGAAGATACTTCTTTTATACAAATTAACTTTCTTTTCTTCCTTCCATTCCTTACAATATAAATAGATTCTCTCATATAAAACAATTATTTTCGCGATTTAAGCTTAATCTTCCGAAAGTTTATTTATTGCTTTTCTCTCTTTCTCTTTACCCATATTAGTATATGCTAATTACATTACGTCATGAAGCATCTAAAGCTTCTTCTTTCAGCATATGGTTTCTCTCCCTTTTTTTATAGCCTACATCACCTTCATTCATTTTTAGAATAGAAAATAAGAAAAAATAAATGAAAGTAATAAGCTTACACGCTCAGCATCTTCCAAACGACGACGAGCTTCCTCAAGTTGTTGAGCGAGGGTGTACTTGACGTGTTGGAGGTTATCTAATTGAACCTTCTGGTCATGAACCTCCTGAAATAAAATGAAAATTATTAATCAAACTGAATATGTAATAAGGACATTAACAACATTGGACTTACTTATTACATATAGTTAGTCTATAAAATGATAATGAAAACTGGATTATAAGAGATATGAAGGAAACAATGAAATCATGAATTGTAATCATGGAATCGTGTTTGTTTAGATGTTAAGTTTGAAGTTGCCGAAAGTTATTCAAATAAAAGAAATGTTACAAACTTTGGCTTCTTCTTTTTTTGTGTTACGTCACATAACCATGTATGAACATACCTTAAGGAGATCGTTGTTTTCGGCTTGCAAGCGTTGACGTTGCTGAGCCAAATCGTTGACGTGCTTGTTGAGGTCTTCAACCTACAAATTTGGAAACGAATGAAAATATTATAAAAGCTGTGAATCCTACCTTGTTGGAGAGCTCGACAGTTTGAGCCTCAAAACGCTCGGCAGCCTTCTCAGCTTGATGCTGGAATTATTCAAATTACGATTCATCATGAGTTAGAAGCTCAATGAACAAAGAAAAAAAGATTAATCGACTAGTGATCTGTGACATTTAAATTATAAGATTTTATATTATACACTGATTATTTACATCAAATAATTCCCCTTGTAATGCTTTATCCTACTCTTTTCTGCTTTATTCAAACTTCTTTTGTCTCTTCCTTGCTTCATCATCATCCTCCCCCACGCATTACAACACAAAAATTGAGAGAGAGGGAGAGGATGCCAGAGAATGAGATAAACAACGTTTTCTTTAAAGTAGAAGCTGAGAGATACCCGAAATTCCCTCTTCTCCTTCTCTCCATCTCTCATTCTCTCTCACTCTTTTTCTGACATTAGCCATCGTTCATAAGGTTAGTTTGAAGCTGTTTGTATACTAAGAAATCGAATATCGCACATGATCATCCTTTCTTCTTCTTTTTCTTCTCCCTCTGATGACATGCCATTCCGTACCTGCAGCTTCTTTTTATCTCTTTCCTTCCTCTATCTCACATACACATCTCTCTCTCTCTCTCTCCAACCTATATAACCTCTCATATAAAATATTTGAAGATATTCAAAAGGTGTAAAACAGATCGTCGAACTCTAATCTTGTTCAATAATCTTCACATAAATAAGAGAGTGAAGCTAATTATTTGGTGAGAATGAAAATTATAATTATTAAAGAATGAAACAAACCTTATCCTTCTGAACTTGATCGATGGTGGCTGTAAGCTCGATGACCTCATGTTGGAGACGTTGACGTTCGCGGTCAATCCTGCAAAAGGCAAATGATTGAAACTAATTAAAGCGAATATTTGAAATTTGATTCGGCATCCTCATCAAATGAATTTTCGCTTCATCCGTTCATCAACTTTCAAACAAAAAAAAAATTTTTTCTTCTTTTGTTGGAAAGTTACAAGATTTTTGAAAATGATAAGCTTTTACTTTTGCGCCAACGGAATTTTCGTGAAAAAATATGTAATTTTCTCTCTCAACTAATTAATTTTTGTGCAAAAACATAATTTTCCCCTCCTCAAAGTGCTCAATCATCTGAATAAAATGTTATTTTCCCTTGCTCTTTCCCTCCTTTTTTTCATAATTTTAAGGAATTTCACTTGATCAGCTTCATCTGTGCTTCAGCTTCTCTTGGCTTCTTTATCATCTTATATCCTTCCTTCTGCTACCCTCTTTCTCTCTCTCTCTATGTTACAGCAAGAGAGAGGGAGAAGACGGCACTCACTTCATTGGTACATCCCCCGCTAAGCTTTTCAATAAAATCTCTATGGCTTTCTCGTTAAAATGTGAGATATTTCTTATTTTCTATGCTCTGCTAAGATCTCATAGACTTCTGTACAGTCTATTCAAGCTAGAAGAGATGAAACATAGTGTGAATGGTAGAGAATATAGATATCCGAAACGAAAACAGAGTGTATAAGATGAAGAGATGACGAGAGATGAAAGTACTGAGCAATCTGGATATGAGGAAGATTGCCAGAAACAGAAAAAAAACTATGTGTAAAGCTTTTTACTTTTCTCTCTTTCCCTCTCTTCCTCTCTCTCTCATTCTCTCTCAGTTTTTATGCTGTTTCACTCTTTGTGTGTTAACACACCTATGGAAAGACATCTGACGACATCATTGAAAGTTTTATCCAAACTCTAAAAGAGCTTTACTTAAGCTTTAAGCTCTTGGCTTAAAATAGAAATTTTCAACTTTGAACAACTTTCATGACCTCAAGGCATGGGAGGCTTGAAAGAGATTTGATTGTCAAGTAGTCGAAGAGAGGAAAACAAGAGAAAGACAACAGAAGACAGAGAGATGAGACGTTCCGAATAGTAATTTCTTAACTATATTTAGCTTTTTAAACATTGTAATCGAAACCTCTGCTGATCATTCGTTATCAAACAAAAAAACAAAGAAGGTTTTCGTTTTTGTTGTTTTGGAAGTCGCAAATCGTCCAACAACTTGTATTTGATGTATTTCCCCTGAGATTCATATGAACTTCAATGTCATTGAGTCGTTTTGAAACAAAAAGTAAAAACTGAAGAATCTCCAGAGGTCCTCAGATCCCTTCCAACAAATTACAACTGGCAGTGTTTAAGCTAAAGAAGATGGCCGAAAAGCAAGAATTATAAGAGAAGAAGGCGGAGGAGGAGTTGTAGAAAAAGTAGTAGCTGGACGAGAAACTTAAGAAAGAAAGATATAAAGAGACAGAGAGAGAGAGAGAGAGAGAGAGAGAGAGAGAGAGAGAGAGAGAGAGAGAGGGGGGAGAGGGGGAGGATAAGCTTTTCAGTTGTGGCAAAAGGTGGTGTAACATTCAGAGGGTAATGCCTATGCTATTTTCATCATATGTTTTCTCTTAAATCTCATAAGTTAGTAAGATCTTTTAGTCCATTTGTCTTTTTCTTTTTCTTGATGTTAATGAGTGAAAAAGAAGTTGCGAGAGAGAATGTGAGAGAAGGAGAGGAAATCTCAGGTATTGAAAGAGATAAATGCCATCTTTATAGGATTTGACATGGAAGAGAAAAAATAAAGAGAGAACGAGGGGTTCTCTCCCCCACTTTCTTGCTTTTCTTTCCCACTCCCTCTCTCTCTCTCTCTTCGAACCTTCCCATACAAATTTTTTTCGTGTTATTCTCTAAGATTTCATTTGAAGGACGAGAAAAAAGAGAGAAAAAGAAGAAGTTATGCCAGAAGCTTACACGCCAGTGAGCCTTCACAGCAGGTTGTTCCACGTAAATAAGACAATAAAAGTATTGAGAGGGAAAAGCTATTGAATGAAAGACATCTTGAATTCTTCTCTCACTTTTTTTTGTTTTTTCTTCGTTTCTCCCTCTCTCCCTCATTCTCTCCCTCTTAATTGATATATTTCTCTTCTTTATATCTCTCACTATATGAAATTTTAAATTTCGATAAGCTGTAATTATTCTTGTTAGCAGGGAAATTGCTTGAAGAATCAACTTCAACAATATTTTATCAAAATATCTCGTTTTTCACTTTACTTCTTCTCGTCCCTCTCATCATCATCTCACTCAATCTCTCTCTATCTCTTTCCCTCTCTGTTCAAAATTGATAAAACTGGCCGTACTTGGCATTCTTCTTTTGAAGAGCCTCAGTCTGCTCTTGGTAGTCGAGACAAGAATCTTGATGTTTCTTGCGAAGTACGTTCATAGCATCCTAAAAGAGATCTGATAAAGATGTTTTGAAGCTTTGCATTTCACCTCAGACTCCAACTGAGACTCCTCAAGAAGCTTGCGGAGCTTAAGCAATTCCCCTTCTCTCTTACGGTTGGATTCAATCTAAAACCATATCAATAGTGATGAGAGAGATGAAAAGAAAAAAAGAACCTGGCTGTCGGTTGTTCCCTCGGCATCTTCGAGACGATCAGTCAAAGCAATAAGTTGAACAGAAAGATCGGCACGTTCACGTTCAATCTGAAGAGACAAAATAATTTTTTAAAGAAGAATAAGATAGTCAAGAAAAAGAAAAAAGAAAATAAAAGGTTTTTTTTCGATCTTTGTTCATTATGAGGATGACGATGACGATGATGAGAAGAGATAGAGAAAAGCTAGTTGAGCATCTCCCTCCGCGTGACTGTATTGCCAGTTGGAAACTCACTTTTCATTGATTGATTAAACAAAAAGTTGATGAAAAACGAAAGAAAAAGATTTTTTTAGAGTAAATATCATTTAAATTAGAAAATTAACGAAGAAAGAGTAAGTGACTTACGCGGTTTCTAAGTTCTCTCTCTGATTCGAGATCTTCTTGAAGAAGACGAATCTTGTCCTAAAACAATATTATAATTATATTTTTTATATTTGTTTATGTTTACCTCAAGTCTGGTCAAACTGCCGAGATCAGCAACAGACATGGAGCCGAATGGAGCTCCAAAAGCGCTCATTGACGGCGATTTGTAGACGTTGTTAGCCTGTGACGGACTTCTGTACAAGGACATCTTTCTCTTCTAGTTGTGTTACTGCTGCCGAGTGCGTCGAGACTCTGAAGGTTTAACAAATTAGTTTTGGAAAGTTATCGAAAACAAAGAGCAAACGAGAGTGATAAGAAGTTTCGAGAGGCCAGAGGATGAAGCAAGAATGTAAGGAATACACCAGTCTATCCTAAGCTTGAACTAGTATAAAGAAATTAGTGTTTACGCCAAGTACCGTAAAGAGACAGTGCAAAGTTGAAAGGAAATAACAGTAAACAGTAAGAAATAGAGAAAAATGTAAGAGTATGGTGGAAAATAGAGTTATGGAGAAGGCAAAGAGAGTGGAAGTCATTTAGGGGCATTGAAATCGGATTAAAACACGGAATATTCGAAATGGTTAAGTTGTTAATGTGATTTCGTTAGAGACAAAGTTATAAAGCTGTGGGAAAAGCCTGAAACAGGCTGAAAGATAAGAAAAGAGACCGGTGCTGGCTCGTCGGCTACTACGGACCAAATGGCAGAGGCGAAGAACACGCGACTGCTCTACTGCAGCTTCTGCCTCCGGGGGTGTGGGCAGGGCTGTGGCAGGAGGAGGTGGATAGAAAAAGAAAGAATTCTGAAGAGATAAAAGAGAAAAAGAGATATTTTGAGAGAGAAGAAGACGAGAGATAAACTGCAAGCAGGTAGATGATTGAGAGAAGCTGAAAATTCTTAGATCGAAGACAGAGCCTGCCAGTAAGAGAATTCTGTGGAAGAAGATAGAAAAAGAGATGTGAACAGGAGGCAATGGAGGAGTTTGTTCTCTCTCTCTTTCTTCCTCTCCCTCGTTCTTTCAAAGTTTTCACATCTCTTATTCCATTGGATTTCTTGATGATCCTGTATCTCTCAGTTTCTATCATTTTCAAAGTTGAATGGCGTGGTTGAAAGAGACAAAGCCCGTGCTGAGCAACAGATTTTTCTTTGTAGCGAAAAAAAGTGATTTGAAAAGCTTCTTCATCAACTCGGCCAAGAAAATCCGACGGTACACCTGAATTCGAGATGAACAGATAGCTGAAGTGAAGAAATAACTAAAATTTGCGGACTTTTTCGGGAAAGTGAGCAGAAAGCGAACAGTGCTTCTCAGCTTTTGTATTCCTTGCCTTCAACTCTGACTGTTCGCTTAAGCTAATCTCTCTCTCTGTTTGACATATTCTCTTTATCCTCACCCTTATACCGCACCTCTGCCTTACACACACTCTCTCCCTCTATAGCTTGAACGATCTTTACGGCAACAGCCTGATGAGCCGGTTCTCTCAATCGCAACTGATGATACACGGTGTAAAGCTCAGTATCTGTCTAAACATCTCTAAATTCTCTTATTTTTGTACGTCATTTCATACATCTCTAACTACTTTATCATTATCATTTCCATTGACTTCGTCTCTCCATCCCCATCCCCCAATTTGTACAGTAACCTCAAGCTCTGTTTTTCAAATTTCTTTATAATCTCTCGAGGTGTCTGCTCATTTTGCTTGGAATTCCGTCTCTGAACACTCAATCCCTTGAGCCAGGCGGAGGACAAGAAGCTTTAGTCGAGATACGTGAAGCTTCTTCATTACATATTGAAATAAAAACATGTGAAACGATAAAAAGAAACATCCAAGAATAACCGATTTTCTACCCTTACTCTGCGTCCCTTTTCACAGTCTCGACTATCTAGTTGTCTAGCCTCTAGCATGCCATGTTCTTGCTGCCCGAAGAAGGCAGCCGAAGTAATCGCCTGCCTGGTTGTGGGCGGTGCCTCATCATGGCCACGCCTTTGACGATCGCCTTATTCGGACGGCATCCCGCCCATATTGGCATTGAAGCTTCTCAGCGAGCCGTCGAGCGACGTTACGTCGTTTTCGTCGTTTTTGTTGGTCAGAGAAGACTCAAATACAGCTGTCAGTGACGGCATTTGAGACATTTTTGTCACATATTTTAAAAAACAGCATATTATAAAGCATATATTATAATTCGAGCACCATCGGTGCTCAGTAGAAGTATTGCTAGGAGCCTGGTGTGTGTTTATATATTTATTTATTCCTATTATTATATTCATTTGTTTTGATTTGCTTCGTTTCTCCTATTTTGACGTCAGATGCACCAACATCGCCCGATGTCCCAATATCCCGCGCTGTTAGAACCAGCCGTCTGTCGACGTCGTCAATTACCTCCGACTCCCGTTCAGCGTCGTAGCAGCAGTCCCCGTATATTACCTACGCCGCCTCCACTTTCTCCTGATTTTCGATGCCCTTCAGCTGCTGTGCTGTTAGAACGTCGATCGTCTGGACGATTACTGCCGCGACCACCGAGTACAACCAGCTCGACGGCATCACCTACAAGCGCAGGTTATTCACCTGAGCCACCATCACAAGCTCCTCAAATTCTCACGCCTGAACCCATGAGAAGCTTGCCAGCCTATGAAGAAATATTATTGGCAACAACATTAGCAGAAGAAGAAGCGGAAACAACAGAAGATTATGAGGGTGACGAGGTGATAGATGAAGGAGAAACACGCATTACGGCATCGGGTACGTCGGTCATTGTTGTCCCAGAATCGCCTGTCATTCCACGGATAGGCGATTTCGACTCATTCGATCATGTTATGGACACTCCAGATGGTACACGATCTCAGTCAAGTTCACAATCTCCATCAATAGAGCAGGTAGGACAAGTTTGAATACATTTCGTAAAAAGTTTATGAAAGTGAAAAAAAAGGAAGAGAAGGAGAGAAAGCATGTGTGAAAGCTGCAAGTCCGTTTGGACTTATTTTAATTGAGTAGATAGATGGACACGTTCGTATACTGCCCTTCTTTTTCTTTTAATCAACACAAATATACGAAATTCTTGAAATAGTATTAAGCTGAATAGCTTATTAGAGAAATAATAAAACAGTTGTTCTTCTCTTGCTTAACTTCCTGCGAGTCGGAAGCCGTTTCAAGCTCTAGGAAAGCTCCTCCTTCTTCTCTTTATAGCTTCTTCTCCCCTTTCTCTCTTTCCCTCCTCTCTCTTTCTTTGCATCATGATGATTTTTTATTCCTCTCCCCTCTCAATTCCATTCACTGTTCGCAATTGTCTTTTCACTTTTCTCTGTTGCCCGAGAGCTTTTGATGATGCCAATCACATCGCCTGTGCCCACGGGGCATGCTGAAACTTCCAGCCAGCAGTAGCAGCAGCTTCATTCTAAAGCATACATAAGGCTAGAGAGAGAGATTCTCGCCGTCTCATCCTCTCTGTCTCTTTCGCCTCTCTTCCCAGTTTCCACATTCAATATATAGGCCCGGAGGGACGAGCTTAAAAACAAACCAGAAATCAAACTCGAAGTTCAAGTTCATATGAGGCTATTAATATATGAGAATGGGAGAAGATAAGGTGATAAAAACCAAAAAAAAAAATTTGATGGTGAGGGAAGAATTCCAGAAAGTTCATCACTTTCATCATAAGCTTTCACACTTTTTCATCTTTGGCTTTATGAATGCTTGAGTTTGAACGCAACATGGCTCTCATATCTAAAAGGATATCCGGATTACTACTCAGCCAATTGGTTTTATATGGCAAGAGAAAGAGCTGAAAACTGTTCTTTTTTTTACTTTTAAAGCTTAGATCTTTTTCCATCTTATGTATCGCCTGATTTGCCTCTGAGGGCGTTGTTACGTATTCAGCGAAAAAAGGTGGAATAACCAACAAGCTCACGTCAGCTTTAGTTGAAGCATCAGAAACTTCTCTATTTCGGAACATTTGTTTTTTACATTTTACATCGTTAATTAGACGGAAATAGACAGAAAAGGTGATGAGAAACTATCACAAATATGTCATCATCATCTCCTCTCACGTGTTTACGGTGAATGGGACAAACTCATTTGCATATGCACAAAATTAGTTCTTGAGCATTAATGCTCTTTCGAGCAATTTCTTCACAAAAAACACAACACATAGAGAGAGAAGTAGGAAAAAGAGAAGTTAAGAAAGCAAATTTTTCTCCAATTTTCCCTACAGCTCCTCTTTTTTTCCCAAGCTCTCCTCGTTTTCCAACTCTCGTTCTCTCTCCCTACCTCTCTTCTATTGCTCCCTTTTTTTTTCTCTCTCTCTCTTTAACTTTCTCTCCCTCTATTCCACTCTCTCTTTCCCTCTTTCTCTTTTTACTAGTTTATACACGTATAAAGATGAAAAAGACGACGAGATTTGTTCATAATTATGCGGTTCTCTCTTTTCTCTTCTCTTCTATTGCCAATTAGTGTCTATGTGCACGTCGTTTACACGCTGGATTTTCCGTAAACAGAGATTGTCGAAAAGATCTAAGAAAAGTAGTTATTACTATGTGAAATAGTATACATTATAAGGGGATTCTTTCGACTATAATTAGCCGTGAAATCTGAAATTATCACTTTCATTTCGTCACAAATGGTGCTCTTTTCAAAACATATAAGGTTGTTCGAATCTCATTGCCGTCCTCCTCCTCTCACTCTGCACTCCGTTAAACTCTCTCTCTCTCTCCCCCCTCTCTCTCTCTCTCTCTCTCTCTCTCTCTCTCTCTCTCTCTCTCTCTCTCCTTTGTTTCACTAACTCTGAACGAACAGGAAACGTCAACTGTGCCAAAATAATGAATTTTCTCGAAAAATTAACCACAAATTATATTGAAATCTATATGAATTTCGTTTGTTTTCAACAGTTGAACGCATTCTTTTCCGGAAAAATGTGCGTCTCACGCGTTTTTCATTGAAAAATCAGATGTGAAACGAACAAAAAATCCCTCAAGTATCAAAAAAGAGAGGGAAAAGCTTAAAGTGGCAAAGTCAATCATTCAAATGACATTCGCATAAACATATATGGTTGAAATATTGATTTGAAATCTTCATTTTCTATATATAGTCATGGAAATAATTAAATTGCGAAAAGAAAAAACATTTCCTTTTTAAAATCTTATCACATTGTCCTTCGAAGAATTTTTGGAAATCCGCATGATTACAAGCCTGTCATTCACACAAAATGTCATCCATGACGTCATCTGAATAGATTTTTGATGGGGAAAACGATGAAAAACGTTTTTTTTTCTTTTTTTTCATTTTTTCTACAAAAAGTTCTGTTTGTGATCAGAGAGAAAGATCAATTTATTATTTGGGAAAACAACAAGATTAACAATAATGAAACCCGAAATTAGAGGAAGAATGAGATCAAGAATGGGCAGAAGAAAAAAACATTTTTTTAACCAAAAAAGGGATTACGGAAGTTCTCACATGTCTTTCTTTCATGAAAAAACCTTTCTATTCATTGATGTTTCTCCTTTAATCTTTTACAAGAGAACTTTCCGTATTATTCAAAGGTTATTGATCGCTTTCCTTAAAGATTTTGCAACTCTGACGTTCACTAATTGTTTTTTTTTTGTGAGGAGGGGGGGTGAAGGAGGGAGGAGGGGGTTGGAGGGAAAGGAGAGGGAGAAAGGCAAAACACATAAGTTTCGAGACATTACCAGGAAGTTCAGCTTTACATCGTCAATTTTGTGTGAAAAACGCTTCCCTTTTAAGCAAAAACTGTTGTTGTGGAGGCCTTTTTATCTTCTATCTATCTTTATCGTTGAAGCATAGGACGATAATATGAATGAAAAACCTTTCTGCTTATGTTGTTAAACGATTTGTTCATCTGTACTATAATTGACCTTCTCTCCTTTTTTACCGAGGTGGAATGAAGAGAATAGGTTGAACGAGGAAGAGAGAGAGAGGAAGGGAAGAAGGCGACGCGCCCATTTGTGGATCAAAGCAGGAAAAAAGGCTTCAAGTGTTTTCCGCTGTTTCTGGCTATGATATTCAGAAGTTTATGTATGAATGAGAAAGAAGAGAGCAATTGAACCTAAAGAGTCTCCGTTGCCAGAAGGCAGAGATTAGTGTAATGTCAGTGGTCGTGATGTTTCTCTTTTCCTTCTCCTACTTTTCCTCTTTTTTCCATCCTTTTTCTCTTTAGTCATTCATTCAAGTCAGTACGAAGAATTTAAAGAGAACTATCGAATATACTTAGAAAAGGAAAGAAGAGAGAGAGAGGAACAGAGAGATTTTGACCAAAAAACAAGTGAGGCAGGAGAAAAAGCTGGAAAAAGGGAGAGAGAGTGAGAGATAGAGGCTTCTCCAATCGAAATGGAAGAAGATGAACATACAAAGAAGAAAATGAGCATTGAATGATACAGAAGAAGAACCACATGCCCTCAAGCTATATTTCATTCATTTCTTTTGCAATACAAAAATAATAAAAAGTTTTTGTGAATATTTCTCTGAAAGGAAAGGGAAGTGTGAAAAGCTATGATTCGAATGAAAGAAGCTATGCAAGCGGAAAACGGCATTGATTTCAATTGCTTTTTAAAACTTCAAAAGAGAACTAGGGAGAAGTTTTTGAACTTCATTAACTATATACATATAGCTAACTTATATAAATTATAATCTGATCTTCGACTTTGGAATCCTTAAAGATCGGCTATAGTGTAACGCTTCCTATACCTTTCCTGGAGGCTCAGCTGTTGTACTAAGCGAGAGATGAAAGCTAGTCAAATGAGCTTCTTCTTAAGGAAATGATTGACAAATGAGAAGAAAAAAAGAGGAAAGACATCATTTTTAAGAGGAATATCTTTTTCTTTTTTCAGCAAAAAGTACAATGGCCTAAACTATAGAGAGAGAGAAAGCGCGAAAGAGCGGGGGAGAATAGATATCGAGAGTGAGAGAACCAGAGAAACAGATAGAGAAAGAACCAGAAGTCAGAGAGGAAAAGACTAAAAAAACAATTTTTTTTGATAACATTATGCTATTTGCTATCCATTAGGCAGTTCCTTTTCACCCGGAAAGGCTTGATCTGCTCATTTATAAAGACCAAAAACTGGTTGAACAGATAGCTAAGCTAAAGGGAAAGGTATAATCAACATAAAAAAAAAAGTTTTTTTGGCATATTTAAAAAAGTTTATGTCCATCAGTCGAAGCATGAATGTCTCTGTTCATATCCTTTTTGCATGCAAATATCACTTGAAGTTGCTTTGTTTTATTTAACTGACGAAGACTGATAGACAAAAATGGCAAAAGTTGTAAGAAATAGACGTCTCGAGGGAGAAGCTTAAGTTGAGAATCAAGTGAACCGAGTATCAAATTCGGTAGACGTTGTGTTTATTGCTTTTTTGAACAGATCATTTTCTATTTTTTGGTAGAGAAAGCAATGAGCAAAGAACTATTTTTCAAATTATTTCCAAGAAATTGATGAACTAAGGACATTGGAAGATTTCGAAAAACAAAAAGTTGCCATCAGCAAGTAAAAGAAAATTGAATTTTTCATCAAAAAAGGCCAAGAAAGGAAAAAAACAAAATAAAGTTTTTTTTTCTTTTTCGTATTGAAAAGTGACCAGTTGCGAGTGTTATTCCCCAAAGAATACGCAAGAGATGAGTGTGTGTGTGATCTATGTGGTTGGCAAAAAGCCAATTATAAACTTTGATTCTATGGCTTTTTCCATTCTTCTTTTCTTTTTTTATTATTTTTCATGCATTTTCGTAATCAAAATTCGAGACGCTATAATCAAATTCTGAAGATGAAGCTTGGCAATAGCCGTTAACGGGTTTGAGGATGCCACGTGAGATTCGAATGAAGCTCTACGTCTCTTTTCAATTCATAACATCACCCTTTCAAAGAAATATAATTGAGAATTCAGAGAGAGAAGGAGAAAGAGTTGAGCGGAGACTTGAGGAAAATTTTATGGTTGAAAAAGAGCAAAACAAGCTTCGGCCACTACTTATCCGAGAAAATTTCAAATTTCAAAAGCAGATTTTAGACACGTATTAAAGAGAGGGGAGAAAGTAAATACGGAAGTAAAAATAACTAATCGTTTTGGGGCTTAAAAAGACATTTTTTTATTTTTTTGGTTGCAGCTCACAAGTAAATCAATCAGTGATTGCGAGGATCCTGTCGTACACGGCTTAGATCCTTCGTTATATGGCCCCAATGCTCCAACATGTGTTTCACCATCAACTTCGGAACATGTGCCTGCTTCGAGCTCATTCAGGTATTCACAGCTTTTCACTCCAATGCTTGCACTTTGCATGACCTTCTGCGCACGTGAACTTTACCCGTACTATTTTCATTTTGACATCTCTAGTGAGCGGTTGTCTCATTGGTCAAGTTATGAAAATATGATTCTAGTTCCGCGGTCTTTAAACGTTCTCGAACGCGATGAAAGTTTTTTGTTTGACGTCAAAGTCAAAATGAATTTTTCAAGCAGGTGGCATGTCCATATTTGTCAGAAGCCACGTCTTTCAAACATTTTTTTGTTTTTTAACATAAAAGTCTTCAAACTTTCTTCTCTGGCGCTTTCTTTCTTCTTTTTTTTTGCAAACAACAGACTTCCTCTAATGCGTCATAAATTATATATTATCTATTTAGGAAAGCTGCATTTATTTACATAAAAATGCATATATAGTTAACTAATTAACTATATGAATAGTTAACTATAATATAATTTTATTTTTAGTGGATCAGAGCCTCGACCATCTGGACTAGGACTTGTCTATTGTACGTTACAACACTTTCCAATCCGCAAACGTCTTCGTGTCTCGATACTGAGGATTGAAGGTAAAATACTTTGTTTTATTATTCTATAAATGTTTCGTGTACTTTCTCTTTTCGTCATCAGAGAAAAAAAATTTCATTATAAAAGGACACAAATGTTCATATATGGCTGTCTCTTAACGGATGTTGACATGGGGATGCTTTTATCACGCAAAATGCCTAGAAAGCTGATTATTTTTCGATGAAATGAAACTTTTTTTTTCTTTTTTCGTCTACGTCTAGATGAGAAATGACTTTTTCTCTCAAAAATGAGAAACATTCCAAACAGGGCTTTCAATACCTTCCGGACTATTGAAAGCTTTTGCAAGGAAATTTGAAACTTCCATGTATAGAAGTTGTTATTCGTTAAAATTAAGAATCAAATTTCATAAAATATTCCAAGATTTTTATTTAAGCTTTATCTATTTATAGCATTAGCCGGACAGTTAAAGCCTGAGTTGGAAATCCATGCCATTTGTAGAGTTTCCATACCTGGAATGAAAACGGGAAAAGAGCAAACATCCGAAGTAAAACGAGGACGGGATCCAGTTTTTAATCAGGTAAGCCTTCTATTGCAAGTTCTCTTTCTATCCTCTTTTCTCCGCCTTTTATTACTCAAATTATTTTGGAAATTGTACTTTATGCAAGTTTTCATTTACTATTGGTGCATATTTATATGGAAAATCTGAAAATATGAATTGGAAAACGCCCCGGGGTGTGAAAGTTTTCTTTTGCAAATAGAAAATTCAAGAAGCTTTTTGGGTAATTAAATGTCTTAAATTTATAAAAATTTATTAAATGACGCCATGCGAAGCTTATCGAGAGAGGACGCTTTTCATGGAATTTATCTTAAGTAAAGATATTCATAAGTATTCGTTCGTCTGACTCAAAAACAACAAAGAAAGATGTTTGAGATAAAGAGTGAAGATAGAGAGAGGAGAGAAGATTTCTTAACGAGATATCGAAAGAGAATACATGATGAGAGAGAAAATGTCTTAAGAGAGTGAGATGTTTTCTCGCACAGGAATTATATAGCATTCGAAGGGAATAATCTTGGCCAAGAGTGATGTTGAAAGAATATTTTACCTGTTTAAAAATAAAATGGGTCTTTCTACGATGTTTGATGTTTGGAACTGACCAAAAAAGGAGAAGTGGGGTGGGGGGTGAACAAGAAAAAGGAGTAAAGGAAGAGTTAAAGCTTCAGAATTGATGAAAAGAGAACCTCCAAATAAGGCGCATTCGAATGAATGAAAGCTATTGAAGAAAATAACAGAAATGCCCTCCAATTCTATAATTTACACAATAATTTGTGCATTTTGATGGAAATAAGCTTCTGCAATTTGAATTTTTATTTAAATTCAGGAGAAAGTTGGCGAAATTTCATTAAATTTCCAATTTTCGAAGGGAAAAACTTTTTTTTTTCAGGAATTTTTCTTTGACAATGTTACGCATGAGGATTTGGACACGAAATCCGTTTGTGTGGCAGCTTATCATCAGGTGAGAACTTAATCCTCAAATCGAGTTTTTAATGCAAATTCTTAGGGAAGTGCCAAGATAGGCAAAGACATCTTAATAGGCGAAGCATTGGTTCCATTAAGAGAGATACGTGAATTGAATACGAAAAAGGAAATACGTGTAATTGAAGAGATTAAACCTCAAATACCTAAGGTTAGTAATATTCGAAATGATGTCATTAACTATGAATATATATAGAAGCTGGGTAAAATATATATTTCATCAAGTATCGAGAAAGAAGCCCGTAGATTGACTATAAACATCAAGAAAGCCGAAGACCTTCCAAGATATAGCTTTACGGGTGCTCCAGGTTCGTTTTTATTAGCCATATATGACATTATTAGAGTCTTTTAATGGTATTATTATACATCCTTGATGTGTTTCAGACGTTTGTATTAAAATAACGATGAGTCAGAGCAATAGCTCGAAGACCAAGTCATCCAGGGTTCTCAAGTCGACAACTACTGCCGTATACAATGAAGCCGTGATGTTCCTGTTTGACCCATCAAAGAAAGAGTTATTGAATACAAAAATTACAATCTCTGTCCATGACATGCAAAGGTTTGTGTGTGTTTTTATTCTCCGCAAAAGAAAAACAAGTTGGAAAATTGAATTTGTTCGTCTTTTGACGAATGAAATTTCTTTACAAAAGATGATCAATTCGATAGAAAAGAAATTTCTGTTTTTTGCTCCGTTTTCCTCAATTTTCCCCACAAAAAAAGCTTTTTTGGCTTTAATTTTCGTTGAAATAAGGAACTTCCTGGACGATCATATTGAATTTTGACGAGGAAGAGAGTATGGGAGTGACGAAGGCGTTGAATGAGAAGGGGAAGAAGAAGACGTCATTCCGTTGATTTGACGATTTTAAATAAATTAAATATATATTTATATATATATTTAAATAGAAATTCTATATAAATATATAGTCATAGAATATTCTCTGAGATGAAATTCTGAAATATTGTTATTACTTCAGAACATGCACTGGTGATGATATCATTGGGTGTGCTTATCTTGGTACCCTGGCCATGGATAAATCCGAAATGGAACAATGGAAGAATACAATCGAACACATGGGAAAAGAATATAAAGTAATTGTTGTGAGCATATTTGTTTTTTATGCCATCGTTTAGGGAACACATCAATTGAAACCTCAAAACACAGCTCCACCCGTGCATGTAGCGGAAGCCGGCGAGAATGGAGTTGAAGATGAAGATTAATTGTTACTTTTTTTCAATTTGTTATCACTGAAATTGCCTTCACAACGTGTATTTGACTCGTATCGCTACATTCCCTCCAACTTTCCTTATATAGCTTTATGCAAGTTTCATCGATAATTACAGAAAAGATGAAAAGCCTCAAGAAAACGTTTTTCAAACTATATCATTTGGTTGAAGATAACTATAAATATATATTATATATATATATGCATATCTCTATTATTCATCAAAGATTTTTATAAAATAAAATGTGTTTATAATCTAATTACAATGAATTGGCCTTAAAAAGGGAAAAAGAGCAGAAAGATCCTGATTAGTAGCTAAGTAGCATGTAAAGTGGTCACCATCATGTTTTTGCAAAACAAAAACATATCTCAGCTTACGAAAGAGTCGCGGTTTTTTCGAAATTCTCACATTTTGACTCTTCTTACAGGTTCGAGGCATAAGTCAATGATTTCACCTTCAGAGTTAGACCCCGTCCATGTCCGGTTGAGAGTTGCACTGAAACGCTCAACGCACACCAACTTCACTATGACATAGAAGCTTACCAGTAGGGACCTACTATAGCGTTCAACATCCGCTTTTCCGGTTTCAGCTTTTTTTTCATGTAGTGGGTCAAATTTCCCCATTCATTGGTTGTACTTATTGATTAATGATCTACTGACATCAATCCTATTAAAAGCAATTATTGACCATCGGAAAGTCATCCCGAAATGTGTATTACCATCAAAGTTAGTAATGGGATTGCTCTATATCTAGCAGATAACAAATGCTGCGTACTCAATGAGGTTCTATAATGATACCGAAGTTTAAACTGTTTGAAAAAGAAGAATTCTCGTTTGATGAAATACAACTGACAACGATGAGAATGATGCTGGACACCCGGCGGCATGATGGAATCACTAAAGGAAAACTTTCTTGATCTGAATAAAATAAACGATCAAGATGGACATGAATAAGAATATATTAATTTTCTGAGATATTCATAATCGAAAGTTTCTTGAATCCGCGGTAAGGTGTAACTCTGATGCTAGTGATAAGTGGAAGATCGTTGAGGAAAACTATTTTGTCACAAAAACAACAAAACAACGTTAACAACAATCGCAACACAATCCCAACAATCCCAACTTCCATCAACTGGAAGTAGTATATCATTCATTCCTTCGAATGTTAATTCTCTAATGGATTTCTTGAGGTAGTTGGTTCCGAGTCCGAAGAAATTCAAGCGATTTGGCATGGATCGACAGAAGGAGATAAGAAAGAAATATTTAAAAGTTATTTATTTTTTTATTTTAATACGTAAATGAATTCCTAATATATAAAAAAACTTGGGGAGATGTAAACACTTTAAAAGGAACAAAATCTCGAAAAACGCATTATAGAGGAATAGGTCTTTTCGGAATTTCTGCATTTATTACTCCTCGAAAATAATGAAAATTACGAAAACATTGAAAAAATTTAAATTGTGGAAAATACGCTGACGCAGTTCGTTGCCCGATGACCCAACCCTGTAAGAAGAGCCCAGATTTGAAAAATTTCAAAAATGACGACTTTTCCGTACGCTGAGATATGTTTTTGCTTTGCGAAAACATGATAGTGAGTGAGAAATGCAGAAAATCGCATTTTGGGCAAAAAGGTGCGCCAGCGGCACCACTTTACATACTACTTAGCTAGTTCAATGAGAATATTCAGCTGAATAAAGCTACAGAAGTTCGTAAGCTTCTTTGAACAAAATAAATAAAACAAAAAAAAACAAATGATTCGTTGCTCATTTGATAACTATCGCTTTGTTCTTTCCATCTAACCGCAATCTTCAATAGATTCCCGGCTTATTAACAACTAGAACAGTAGGCTGTCTGGAAGGTGCTCTTTCGCGAATTAAGAGGTTACGGTAACTAAAGGACACAACAGCCTGCCATATGTTGAAAAACAAAAATACAAATAGGCCTAGGTAGATGCAAGCACATTGCATGTAATACGAAGGCGTCTTTTCCGTATGAAGAGCTGAAATTTGTTCGTTTTTAGTTATAACATCAAAAAACTTTTAGTTGACACCTAAACACATAAGATTTCACGCAAACCTGTTCTTTAAAAGGCCAATTTCACGCTTTTCAAGGCTGGTCAGCTTGAGATGTTCGTCATCGACATCCCTCTTCTCTATCACTATCTCTCTCTTTTCTTTCATTTAATCTCTTTGTGGTAGGAATAGTAGAAATGAAAGAAGTAAAACTTACTATTAAAAGCCCAGTTCAGTACCATAATTATATAATATGGTTTGAAGAAGAAGTAAAAGGAGAATATAAGTAAAGCATAACATGCTAGGATCGCATGAAACATCTATAAAAGAAACGAGTTTCATAAGGAATATTATAATTTGCTTTTTATGAGAAATAGTGGCATGAGCGACTTTTCTCTTCTTTATCATTCTTCTTATCATTAACATCAATTCAACACTTTCGAATATGTCTCTCCGTATAAGGTGTAAAAGGCATGATGCTGATTTTTAAAAAAAATGCTGAAGTTTTCCACTTGATTCTCAAGCAGTTTTTCGAAATCTTCACTTCAAAATCTGTACTTGATTGCATGTGTTGATTTCGGATTGAAACAGAAATTGTTTGAGCTTTTTGATTAGATCACGTAATTGGATCATTCAAATGAAATTTTATGAACACTCACAGATACTCCTATAATTGGCCATAGAAGTCGTTGTCTTTTTGAAATGATTCCGAAGACTGTTGACACGGTGATAAATGTGGGAATGAGAAGGATGAACATGGCTTTTCGGAATTTAAAGTACATCAGCGTTACCAGAGCTATGATCACGAATGTTCCGATGGTTACAAGCAGTTTCATTCCAGTCTATAAAAAAGTTATTATCTTTGGATATCAAACAAAGGCTTACATTCAGATGAATTTGTCCACGAAGGCATCTGTCTTCATCTTTATGTTTTTTTGGGGAGCAGTTCATTTTGTAGGAAACCTCAAATAATTTTATTATACTCAGCAAACAGTTTGCAGAAAAATTATTGAGAGAACAAATGAAACGTTTAAGCGACTAGCTGTAGGAACCGTTCAGCAAGTATTCTGTGAAGAGGATAAAAGGAGGACCTCGGATTAAAAGGTCTTTTGAGGTGGAGGAGGGGGTGGAGGCAATCGAAATCAGGTCCCGCGACGGCGATCGCGCCTCACAAGATCAGATGTGTCGTCCTTATACGTGTGTCGCCTTTAATATGTTCTTGTTTAATTATTTTTTCTTTCAACATACTTATCCATCAACAACGTATTTCTCATTAAACTGATCTGACAGTTTACGAGAATCTCATTGAAAGAAAAAATAACTGATAAGGTGGGGGAAAGTAGTTTGAAACAAATTTTTTCAAAGGTTAATAGAAGTGAATTGACCCTATTCTGTATGCAAATTCAGCAGAATGATCCAGCAAAAGAAAAATCACATCAATTCAATGGATCGTGTGAAAGTGCTGAGAACACTTAATGTAGAAAGTGCAATTTGGATTATACAAGAATAAGAAAAGGGAAACTGTGAGATATTTGGGGAAGAAAAGCAGCGAAAACTTCTCAAAGAACTGTAAAACTTGAGAAGCATTTGCAATTGACATGTAGCAAAGAAAAAGCCGTTATTGTAAAACTGAACTTGCCCTCTTCCCGTTATGATTCTGTAATCGCCGAATCTCTTTCAATCTATACAGAAGACAACAAGCCCTGAAGGGAAAAAACAGTTTTGACAAGACGGATCTCCTGGATGAGAGAGGGTCGTAGTGTTTGCCATTTATGGTTTCGACACTGGTGATAACCGAGGATTTGAGAGAGAGAGAGAAAAAAGGGTGGGTTAATGAAAGGTACGTTGAAAAAGACATGTTTCCAAGGCTAGCTTAATGGATGAGATAAATGCGATGAAAGAAAAATTCGTGAGTGAAAAATAAAAATAAAAATAGGAATAAGGAAAGAAAAAATAGGAATAGACAACCGGGTGGTAAGTGCGATAGAAAACCTGATGTATCTTTCGCTTTCAGCTAAAAGCCTTAGTAGTAGATGATGGTAAGTAAGAAATTGTAAGAATGAATGACGACATCATCCTTTTTTTCATCTGTCATCCTTCTCTTCCATAAACGATAGTTAATCTGGCTTTCAATGAATCAGTAATAAAGATGCTTTGATATATAAATACATATATAAAAAAATATAACTTCTAATGAAAGGAATGTTCTGAAATGACATGAAAACAAGAACTAAATATGGTATAATGCAGTATTTTTGGTCATTCGAAGAAGGATAAGCCGAACAACTGAAGAACAGGATTATTTCAGTTGACCGAGTTCTAACATTTGAATATTAAGGAAGATGTTTAACTTTGAGTTTAAAAAAGGCAGAGATATGAAGTCGTATACTTGTATGTATGATGTTCTTTCTAGAATGAAGCTGAAAATCCTTCTCACAGAATGCAGAAAGCTTAAATCTTTTAGATCTTACAGATGAATTACAAGATATGCAGACACTAATTGGCTAATTGGATGTTCTTCTTTACAAGTATAGTATGGTTCAACCATATAGTTGAAAATATGTATGTACAGAATAAAGAAAGAAAAAGAGAAAGCAAATAATATTGGGGAATGAGACGAACTCAAAAAAAAACTTTTTGGACTGGAGACGAGATGCTAAAGAGACAAGCTAAGTTAGAAAGAAGCTGGTTTTCAAATCCAAGCTGTTAATCTAGCCCGAGAATGTGACTACTTTCATCCTTCTCAGCTATTTTCTATTTTCATCTTTCATTATTTAACACTAAACAACTCCATAGTTAACGCGCCAAAAAATATTCGAAACTTTCATTTTTAGGGTAAATGACGCGCTTAGCGGTTGCATTCTTTTCTCTTCTCAATTTTATCTTCTATCTCTTTCTTCAGTTTTAATTATCTATTTATCCCGTTTTCTAACAATTAAATTTTTTGAAATATTTGTCATTAATTAATTTTATCGAGCTAGTTGTTGATAACCTTGTTCATCTATGTATCAGATGATTTGGTTAACCTTTTTCGTGAAAAAAATACGCGAAGAACTTCATCAACAAATTGGTTGAAAAAAAAAAGTTTCCATCTCGGTAACATAGTTTCGAAAAAGTTCATTTGATCTGAAGGTTTGATGTAAAACAGTTAAACATATGGTATAGTATTTGGAAACAGTAAATGCTCTTAAGGCTAATGCATGGGAGAAGGTATTGGCATGTGAAAATGAAAATTACAGAAAATATAGTTAAAATTCTACAAAGAAAGATAATTTAACAGACGAAATTGATTTGAAAACTGTTAGAAGACGAAGAAAGAGGACATTGTCTTTGCAATGAAACGAGATCAGTCAATGGATCGAATATACGTTCAACTATCAGCTATTTCTTCATTTATCAACATATATTGCAACATAATTATAATTGAAAAGGAGTAGTTAAGGAGAAATCGGGATGCCTTCGTTGGTTTCCAAAAAAGACCGGAAATATGAATGACATGATAATCATCAAACCTATTTAGTCATTATGATTATTATGATAAACTAGATAGACTATCTACTATAAAGAACTAGATATACTATAGAAATAAAAATATAAATCACACAAAAAACACTTTTCCTTAAAAAATTTTGTTTTCGTATGCTTCCTTCAGACAGTTATTTGTTCAAACTGTGATACTGGTCGTTGGATTGGTTATCGATTTCATTTCCATAAACTGAGATAGAGACATCTTATTATCTAAGATACAACATGTTTCTCAAGCTTATTCTGATTAATTATCCTGAAGGGAGAAGTACAAGTGTCAACTTATGGATTTCTCACATATCCTCCTCCAATTAGAATAATGATGGCTTTCAACAGACAATTTCCATGAGGATTTATACTCAACACAAACACACATCTATTTATGTGTAAAAGATATATGTATAATACATATAAATATATGCTACTTCCATGTCTGCCTACTTATAAATAATTATGTCTTAATTTAGATATAAATTTAAAATTGTTGAAATATTTTCTCATGTAAATCTAATGAGATGCAAAAATGAAGGCCCTAAATAGGAAGCGCTTGCCTTGATGCAAAAATTATTAAACTCCGTGCTCTTACTTAGGTAGATATCAATTTACGTAATTTTCGAAGATATGGCTCTGAACGTTCATAGTTCGAGGCACATGGCGGCTCACTCCTATCTCGGAACCAGGTAGTTCCTTCACGTAAGTTACGTCACCCACGTGGTTCACACGATCATCAACTTCCATTGATCATTATCTTCCCGCTCGAGTGATGTTCACGCGACCCACACATGATGCCAATGACCTTCAATCGACATTGACGCGCTAATTTTACGCGCATTTCCATTAAAAACATATGGTAAATGGGAACCTAACATTTTCTTTCCAAGATCTGCTCACGTGAATGTCTCACGTTAAATAGTGATGAAATGAAATTTTTCATTTTGTATTTTCGTATCCGTTGTGGACGGTTGCTTTCAGTTGTTTTTTCCCTTTCTTCTCCTCTTTTTTCGTTTTCTGGTCAGTGACGTTTTCCATTTAGGCTTCTTTTTTTGACTTTATTTTTTGCTCAACTCCAGCAGCAAGCTTGTACATAGGTTTTGTAGATCTTTTTGTACAAGTGAAAATGGGAGTTTGTAACTGAAACACTTCGTTCATGAGTAATTCCCCCCTACTTTCGAACTCTCTCGCTGAAATCTGGTTCATTTTTTAATTCAAAATCTGTTTTATACCCCTTTCAACATACAGCTGTATTTGACTTATTCCCTCGTAACTCATTCATTTGCGTTCGAAGTATAAAAAATTTATTTTGGTTCTACGAAGAAAACTGAAATATTTTTTTCAGGAATATTTTCTTATATTTATAATTCCGGATATTCTCCATCCACTGATTATCTCGTGAGAGAATGTATAATTTCCGGTAAAATTCACATTCGCTCCTAAGAGAGATACCTCAAGCTCATTTCTAACTGTATAGTATAACCCTAGGGTTTTTGCTAATGGGATGATGGGATACATATTCAGGCATACAGTGACTCAGCATTCGATCTTCACTTATAGTACAGAATCTGCATTACTTCCTACGACTCTCTCTAAAATGATTAAATACACTGCTTTTAATTTCTATTGTTTGATGGATTGCGTCACTTTCCTTATCATCACACCTTCATAATCAGGTCTCACTGTGAACACTCATCATACTGGCTTAGCAGTAAATAGTAGGATATGAATCATCCAAAAGCATTCTTTTTAATTTAAACAAATTATTTCATCTTAGCAGGAGAGGTCCGTCTTGCGATCCTATTGGTCAGGATTTATTTTAAAGAGAAAACCATATCTTCACGACACATCCTGATCGAAGAGACACTACGGTATTTAATGCTTTCAAAAGATCCGTGGAAGATTTAGCTTTGATATGATACCCATCTATGCGAAATCCTTCAAACAATTTGTTAGATACTCAAATTGAGCTTATTTTTGAAAGCCTTCGGATTCGTTGATTGTGTGTGTCGCTAGAGATTGTACTTCGTTAGTATCGCGAATTTTGTAACCTGATAAATAGTTTTTTTAAGAGGCCATCACTTCATTTTGTCCTCAGACACATCAAAATGTAAATAGAACTTTGGTGCAATCACTTTATCTATGACTCATCAAACCAACACGAGTTAAAAAGTGAAGAACAGCTATTGTCGTGCTGTATTTATCTTCATTTGACCTACGGCTAACCCGCCTTGTTCTACACTCTTAAGTCTCTAGGCTTCCCCCCCCCCTCTTCTCTTCATTGAAGCAACGAACCAGCCTAGTCAGTCCACATCACAGAGGGAAGAGGCCTGTTAGCTGGGTTGTGAGCGAATGTCTATAAATAGAGCGAATATATTTGAGATGCACACAGGCGAAGAGAGAAAGAGAAAGAGTACACAGATTAGCGAGAGTGACATTCGTTAGTATGCCTGCTGTCCCATCTGTCATTCTATGTTCGTCTGACTCTCTTCATACTTATTGTCTCTAGTTTGCGGCCTGAGAATTAAAGAGATCGATAAGGCAGACACACAGAGATTAGTACATAATGTCTGCACGCCTGACTCTCTTATATTTGGCGCGAGCGCACACAACAGCCTTCCTCTTCGCCGGCCTCATCGACAGACACACACCACTATCGTAGCCAGCAGTGCCTTGCCCGAACATTCTGTCGTTTACTGGAGGGGCTGAGCGCTCACTGCTGTTGTCTGGCGCCCTATTTACTCAGCATTGTGTTTTCTGACATTTCTCTATTTCTCTCAAAGTTTTATTATAGTCTTCGCAATGAAAACCTCGTTTGGCCCGTCTCTCTTTCGCTTTCTACATCTCATTTTTCCTCTTTCTTTTTCTCCCTTCAGTCGTCGCTGACGATTATAGACGCACACAGCAACAGACCCACAGCCCCACAGCCTCTCTTAGCCAACAGCAGCAGCAGCCAAGTCGGGTCCACCACACCATCATCACCGCCAACCAACCACACATACACACGGCCGAATGTCGCCTGCGAAATCTAAACAAGTGTCGTTTATGCGCTCCATCGCTAATCTACCGCTCCTCAAAAACATTGGGCGCCATCTTGAATTTGAAAATTATTTCTATCTTTACTTGTTAGGCTTATTGTTCGGATTAGAAATAGAGGGCTTGAGTTGTGTCCGCTTTGTCCAAATTTTTTTGGTCAAAGAGACGAATGCTCCTGCCTTTGTAGATTAATTTGAATGTAATTTTTGAAAGAAAGAAAGCTCTCCTGAAATCAGCTAAAACGTATTGGTACTCCGTCAGAAAAAAAACTCCCAATTTATTTTCCAAACTTTAATATTTTAATGAAATTGTTTTTTGAGGACCGTTATTTCTCCCTGTGAGGAGCGCACGTCTGTATCATATGGTGAGCCAGAGAAGAGTCATGATCGAAGTGGGACAAATCAAAATTTATATGAAATCCATCTTGTAAATTTGTGAAATTTCTTTTCTTATTGTCACTTTCTAAGACGAGTGAAAACGTGTTGCTTTTGTGCCATTCCGACTGAAGTTTGAAGGTCGTTTAGAAAAAGAAGTACTTTTCTTCTCATATCGTCGTGTACATTTTTTGTCTTTTATTTTTTGTTCATCTTTTCATTTTTTTCTTGTTTGCAGGTAGGCATAGGAATGGATTCGTACACCCTTAATCAGCTCACTGAAGAAGTTTTTGGTCACTTATGTAATATTGCCATTGATAAATGTAATGACAAGATGGAGAAGCGTAGAGCTGGTTGTGGAGGGAGTGCGATGAGGAAAAGGTATGATGACCGAAATAAATGAATAAATATTGTATTTGAACCGTCTTCTAGAGTGCTTATCAAAAACTTTGTATCGGACCTCCTCAAATCTCACGGGGAAAAAGTTACGGAGGATGATACAAATGATTATAAGGGGAAAGAGGTACATACTTTGACATTCCAAATGAGATTGAACAATGGGAGTATTTGTCTAAACTTTCAGTCGTTGTCTAATCACCTGATAACCTCTAGTTATGATTATAATTTAAATCAAGTTCATTTTAATGGTGATGGTAGCACACACTACATTAGGGTTTGTATTAGTTGTTGTGTTTGTGAAAACGTTGTGCTAGTGGAAAACGAAAATTCAAGTCGAACGTTGGAGTATAAAAGTGTCATTCTAGTATATGGATGATATGGACTCATCAGAAGCTTCGCTTTGTGACGTTGATGACAGCGATATCAATATGGAGCTGCTAGACGAGCATGATATACCGAAGGTAGTCTATTCACTCTTATGATGACGTCCATCATTATTTAATATTAGAATGACTGTTGGTTGTCATCCGGGTGTATAGATTCTAATCAGTATCACGATTATACGATAGGATCTTCTTTTCTATCAGGTGTGTTTATATTTGTTAATTAGCTTTGAGACGAATATGTTGAAGGCCGTGATGGAGCAGAGAGTCGTGCGGAAATCAAATCTCCACTGGATTGTCTTGACGATTCAGACCGTCTGAGTATTTATGATTGCTATTCTTCCATTTCTGAATCAGCGACTGAAGGAGGATCCCCTGAATCCTCGCTACCTCTACCGTCAATGCCCGCACATGGCTTCGAGAGGTTTTTCTTATTTTTTTTCTGATAGTTTAATGTTTATTTATTCAGTGCGTACGATCTTTCGATGACGTCATCTTATGAACTGGAACCCTTGTCAGCCCTTTCAACACTTTGCGATGTCGGGAATAGTTCCCCGTTGCAACCTGTGCGTGCTGAACCCAGTGACCAACTATTCCTCTCTTTAAATAATAACTGCTATTCCGAAATGAAAACTTACGTACGTTAAAAAAAATATTTTCTTTTAATCATTATGTTTTACAGACGCCGCTGATGGAGAAATCTTCGGATGATGTAATGTCGCCACCTCATTCAGAATGTTTGACTGATCTCGATGCCATTAATCCTCTAGTTTCGCCGAAGAAACGAAAAAGTAGCGAGGTACATCAAAAGTCTAAGATTCTAATGTGAAATTTTATAATTGCAGTTCCTCTTTCTTGGCGGCGTCGATGCTTCTCATCAGAAGCGTTTAAAACTGTGATGTTTTGGAACTTAATACTTTAACCTTTACCCATTCATTGCAATTGATACGGGTCGTAGTTGTAGTCCTTTAAGTTGTTGGAGAAATGGTTCGAATTTATTTATTTCTTTAAGAATTTCAAAAAACGGGTTAGTTCGAACTATTTCTTTGAGCAGCTAATCTTTATGAGACTATTGTATGTACAATTTTAAAATTATTTGTTTCTCGTTTTTGTCGAGCGTGTTATTTTGCTCAATTCTTAAGGCACTCAAAAATCCTAAAATTAATAATTCGTGTAAAAATAATCTGATCTCTACCTTTTGTAATGGTTTTCATAATGCTTTTGTTCTCGGATTGGGGTTGCGCTGTCGTATCAACTTCCTGTGTGGTATGCGTACAACCTCATCCAACGTCTGAGAAAGTCTGTTCGGCTTCTTGGGCCATAGTGTGATCATCACAGTCATGGCTGGTAATTGTTCAATTTATTCCTTAGCAACGAGAGCATATTTTTGTAGTCTTGCCTTTATTTATTTAATGTGTAATGATTTAATAAAAATTGACGACTATATATTATGTTTAGATATTGAAATTTAATTGTAATTAGAAAACAAAGGAATTTCGAGCAGCAGTCTTGGGGCCATAGCCTTTCTACATATTCAAAAACAAAAAGAAATTATTTTCTTCTTTTTTTCCTTTAATTAAAAATAGAGGTTTGCTAGCTTGCGATAGAATCATAGGAAGGATTAGACCTCATGTTTCATTCTGTGCGAAGATTTGATCAGCATACCTTAATATAGCCAATATGTTGGACAAACGGATTAGGACTTGTCACTTCTCTCAAAAACGCTCCGCACTTTTCTCTCACTTTTTTTTTCACTTCCAACAATACAAGTGTTCGTTTAATTTTTTCCATAGTAAGTGATATGGACTTAACGTCTATAGGTTTCAATTCCACTTTAACACTCAATGGCTTCTCAATAATACTCTGGAGGAAGTATACAAAGCGTATGCCGCGTCTGCCAAGCTATTTTTGGAAAATATTGAAATCATTTTACTTTTTTGCTGGTGGCATTATTGAATCGAGAACATTTTTCTCGGCGAATGTGTGATTTCAAGCGCACTGAGACGCCAGCCAGCTTGGGCCAGTGAGCTTTTTTAGCAGTCTTCTTCGCCTAGCGTTTTTCTGTTATGCGATTTTGTGCCTGAGCCCTGATTAGCTGACTGAGAGGCACAATTCAATTTCAATTATAGTGATGGCTTTTCTTTGTCGCCCGAATCTATTTTCTATCACCATTTTCTTTAAGTCTTCTTGGTCATTTCTGTTTTTCAAATTTATTATTGTATGGCTTATAAATGCATTGATATCTGCCGCAGTTATTGTTCCGTCATCTGCTTATCATGAAGCATTGAAAGAATTTAATAACAATCGTCGCAACTTTGGAAATGATTGTCTTCATGCATGATGATATATTATTTTATGATAGGATGGCAAATGTCTGTCGTTCACTCCTCAATTGCAGCCTTGCAAGTAGAAAAAGCGGCTTGTGATATATTAACCCTTTAGATATCTCTTATGTCCACGAACATGTCTGCATTGCATACTCAACCCTTGACATTTTTACGTGGCCTTTCCGTGGAAAATACGCGGCCATTTCTTTAGTGCACTCGCACAGCACGGTTGTATTTAATTTTTTCTTCTTATTACTTACCAACCCCACCTACGCAATGCGTTTTTTTTCGAAATCTTCATGATACGACCACTGTCCGACACCTCCGAATATGAAAATAACTTTGAAAATAGTGTTTTCAAGTCGGCCAGTCAAACTAACAAGCTCTTTTTGGCCCTTTCTTCACATCTGTTTACCCCAACATAAAGTCAAATGAGAATTACCGGTTAAACGCAGCATCCACGTTCCTCCAGCTTTGAGCATTTATTGTGTAGTGTGGAACATCAACATGACTGCACTTAGCTGTTATATCATTGTATAAATGGAGAGATGCGCTTTATCAAAACTCTCTCTAAATTGCTTCTTGATACTCAGATCATGCGACCCCGACTTCCTTCCTAAATCGTTAGATGACTTTTTTTCACCAACCCTAGTTGTGTCTTGGCCAACTTGAAACTAAATCAACCTATTACGCTTTCGTTCTTTTCCTTTTGTTCTTTCTTCAGTTCTTAGCAATTCTTCCCTTTTTTGACATAACATTCGTAGATGACGAAAAATAGCTTTTACTCAACAAATTCATCGATAAAACGAATTCCAAATTAATAGAAGTTCATTTTTCAAAAAATTCACGTTGGTTCAGTCACATGATAATCATCATCACACTAACAACAAGGTGGCAACTACTTACACGACCACGAACATGCCAAAAAACTCCATATTACCTGATTCATCATTCATTTGTTAAATTGTTATCATCGTGTAAACCGATAACAACTCGTTCCATTAAGTAAAAAGCGATATGTACCAAGAAAATTTATTATGGAACGCAAAAAATATTCTCTAATTCCGAAAAAGGCTAATTTTAACATGTGATAAAAACAAATTTTTATCTTCTGCGGTTAGTGAATGATTAAATTTTATACTCACTCTTCAAAAACGATGAAAAATTCTAAATTTATAGCCTCAAGCTTATTTTTATGGGAGACATTTTTGAATATGCAAATTATCGTTGACGTTATGTTACGTACCAGCAAAGAATTGCGTATTTTTATTTTCTATTTAATAACGCCTGTTAAAGGTTGCATTTTCCTGGACTAAGCTTATCTCTTGAATAGATTCGGAAATTAGAAATAAATTCAGCTTTTTCTTCAGTTCACTTCTCAGAATAACCGATGAAAAACAACAAATAATTCATTAATTTCTCCTTTTGTCAGCATGAAACCCTTTTTGGTTGAATCTGTTACACACCTTTCATATCACGTTTTTCATCGAATATGTGTGATTGTATTCTTGTAACATTAGGTATAATTATAGACTTTAATGCGCTTAACAGATAAGAGGTATTGTATGCCGTGATGGCGTCAGAGGTTACTTCAAGAAAAAAGTTTGTGTTTGAAGCTTTCGACCTTTATTGTTTTTTTTGTAGGTTTTTAAATATTAAAGATACGCGTATAGCTGGCTTATACGATCTTGATTATACTATTGGACAAGGACACTTTGCGGTTGTCAAATTAGCTAGACATGTATTTACGGGAGAAAAAGTAAGTGATTGGTAGTATTCTGTTAATGACTTTGCTCTTAGGTTGCATGTAAAATTATCGATAAAACCAATTTGGATCCTGTTTCGGAGGCTCATATAATGCAAGAAGTATGGCTTTTTTTATATTCTCTTTTTATTCTTTTTTTCAGGTTCGATGCATGAAGCTAGTGCAGCATCCTAATATAGTAAGACTGTATGAGGTTATAGATACGCAAAGTAAACTTTTTCTCTGTTTGGAATTGGGAGACTATGACATGCATGATTTCATTGTGAGACACGAAAAAGTTGAGTCTGAATGAACTTCAACACTTATCATATAAATTTAGGGTGTCGCAGAACCTTTGGCTCAGCAGTATTTTTCACAGATAATCACTGCTATCGATTATTGTCACCGTTTACACGTTGTACACAGAGATCTTAAAGTGAATTCCTTTTTCGTTCTGTGTAATGATTATGTTTAGCCCGAAAATGTCGTGTTCTTTGAAAAAATTGGAATGGTTAAGCTAACAGACTTTGGGTTTAGTAACTTGTACGAACCAGGAAAGCCTTTATTAACTTCTTGTGGTAGTTTGGCATACTCAGCTCCTGAAATACTGTTAGGGGATGCCTATGATGCACCTGCCGTGGGTGAGTCTTCAAGTGTTTGTTACAAGTTGTTGTATTTTATCATAGATGTGTGGTCATTGGGTGTGATACTGTTTATGCTTGTTTGTGGCCGATTGCCGTTCCAAGAAGCTAATGATTCGGAAACATTGACCAGAATTTTGGATTGCAAGTATTCCTTGCCCGACTCATTATCCACTTCCTGCAAAAAGTAAATAATATTGAATATCATCTATTCACAATTTCTTGTTCAGTTTGATTCAAAGAATGCTCGTACGGGAACCATCGAAGCGAGCAAACTTACCCGAAATTGTTCAAAATTCTTGGGTTTCTGCTGGTGATCGTGGACATGCATCAGTATATCTTCACTTCTTTTTTTTTATGATTCTAATTTTTTTCAGGCCTTACCCTTGATAGTTCAACACGAGCTTCCTCATTCTGCTCATACGACCATTGTTGAACAAATGGTAGCAGGAAACATTGCATCGGAAGATGAAATTCTCAGGTATTTGACTTATTTTCTTCATTCACTTAATTTCGATATATTCAGTGCTCTCGAGAATGATGAGTATAACTCTTTGACCGCTACATATTACTTATTAGCTGAGAGAATTTTGTCGACGTGTCGAGAAGAGAAAGCGAAAGAACTGATGGCTAAAGAGTGTGATCCCATTCCTGATGAGGAACCTATCGAGAGGTATTATTGCTTTAGCCTATTTGTTTCCTCAAATTGCTATTAAGTGAAAAAACAGGAACACCTGCTGTACCTGGATCCAGATGTCGAAGTCGTTCCAATTCTTGGCGTGCTAGACCATGTACGATTTTAAAAGTAAGATAGATGTGATGCGATGTTACAGATGATGATGTTGCTTTTTAGGAAGAGAGTGAAGAAGAGCTGTCCAGTTACCTGAAATCGAGTCGGCAGAGTAGTAGGTAAGAATTTTTTTGACATCGAGTGAGATATTCCTTGTTCTTGTGTGTCTGTTTTGTTTTGGAAATGCTGATTTTGTGTTATGTGTTTGTCTTTTGTTTAGACAGCTCTCGATGGACATTGTTCACTCATCTTGTAGTCTTCTATCAAGAGAACATGGTGAGGATGGTCAGTTGAATCGAGTTGAGCAGCAACCCAGTGAATCGGCGGATCGGCCAACTTTTCTACTATTCGGGCGCACGCCTACCAATTTTGATGACTTATCTCCCATATTGGAGGATAAAGATAACGTGCTTGAGCCAGTTTCTCAGAACGGTGAAAAGAGTTCAGAACATTTAGCATGCAATGCACGTAGAACTCGATTTCTTCGCAATCTCTCTGAGCCTGAACGGTTTACGCTCGAGGAAGAGAGGATTGGTTCGCACAATTTCAATAAAAGTATTCGAGGACTTGTTAGAAGGTTATTTTTTGAACCGATTCAACTAACTTCCCTCAACATAATCTGCTTTTTAATTTTTTTTGGTTGCATGATGCACAAATTCAGCTTAGCATGTTGTCATTGTAGTATTTGAACGTTGCACCGCCTTGTTTTTGTTTCCCTGCTATTATTTTTTATTTGAATTGTTTAGAAACTCGTCTCCATCAGTTTCCATGTTTAGTGGGAGCGCTAAAGATAGGATCAGCCCTCAAGCGGTTCATGATTTATTAGAATTTAGCAGATTAGGTAGCGCTTGGTTTTCTATAGTATAAAGACATTCTAACCTTTCCAGGAAACTCAAGACGAGCAGCCAGTCCGGATAGTATCAGAAGTAGTCGATCACCATCTCCTCCTCCAAGTAGCAGCGGAAGAGCTTCACCTTGTAACTTTAAATATTTTTCGCCTTTCCTGATTTTCAAAATTAAGCCATTTCAACACTATCCTCCTTCGCCCGCTTGAAAGTTGCCCCTGCTTCATCGAGTAGTGGAATGAGAAAGTTATCTTCTTCACCTCACCTATTAGGTATACATACAAGAAGTTTCCGTTGAAGAAAATCTTTCAGGTATATGCGAAGAGGGAGAAGAGGGAGGAGATTCCTCATTCTCCAGTAGTTTACTGACAAGTCCTACTGATGGATTAGCCCGAACGAATAGGTATTGCATTTTTGTTGGTGATAAGATAATAAATTTGCAGAAGTGCATCAACGGGTCTCGTCCACTTAACTCGTCATGGACCTGTTCAACCATCGAAAAGTACAGGGTCAACCCAACAACCAACTACTTATAGGTACATTTTTCAAAACTGTCAAACTTATTCTTTCTCTTTTCTGTCTTTTATGTTAACATAATTTTCCGTCTGTTTTACTAACCAGTTTTAGCGCTGTTCGTATGATACGTCCTCGACACGCAGTTGTTTCTCCTGATGTTTGCAGGTAAACTTTGAGTGGCCGTCCTCTGTTAATTTACTACTTCAAAACTTTCGTCATGCTCTATATCATTATCTTTCGTTGATATGAATCGTTTTCAGGCGTTACGAACAACATCAACGGTTTATAGCGAGAAGCCGAAGAAGCACTAGGTAATACCTATCTATGTCAGTATCCCCAAACCTGTTGTTCTTTCAGCTGCTCTTCTTCTGAAGCGTCTGATGATGAGGAAGGAAAACGTCTGTCTCTCATCGCATCCAAGTATTGTAACAGGAAGAATTACGACAATGACAAAGAGGATGATGACAAAGGAGAAGGTTCCATAGTTATCTCACTCATGCTCAGACACACTTTAGGAGGACAGAACGGATCAACACCGTCAAATCGTCCGCCTGTTCCGAGCTTGTCGAAACCGTCTGATTCCGAACAAAAGTCTGATGGGAGCAAAGTTCAAGACAAAAGGTCGAGCCATTGAATAACTGCAACGAAAAAATATATATTCAATCGTTTTTAGATCTGGACCATCCGACTCTTGCGTTCCTTCAGGTTCACTACAACAGTTGCTACCAATTCTAGAAATGCCACAACTCGATAGCGACAAGGGTCAACGAATGAGAGCTCGTCTTTTACAAAGGTTTCTCCTAAAAATTAACGTTATATTAGTTTATTTTAGATCTCATACTGCGGAACGGATACTCAGAGATTGGGCAGGATCTGCAAATAATAGTCCCAGCGATGGTTGTCTGGGTACCCCGCCTAGAGAAGTTGTGAAACCGAACCATGAAGTGGACGGACATCAAGAATGGATCAAACGCTTGAGACGTACGAGATCAGACATCGATATAAGGGCATTGGTTCGTGAATGGAAAAAAATTTATTATATTTCTGTTTCCTCTAGAGCTTCACGCTTCACGATAACAAGTTGTGTTCCGAAGATTCTTCTTCTGATGCAGTGTTTGACTTTTCTGAGTCGTCCTCTGAAGAGTACCTGGAGAGTAGAAGTGATTCTGGTTGCTCATCAGGAAAAGAACAAAGAAAGGAGGTGATTTCTCCGTCTTTATTAAATTATTCATCCTATAACATAAAATTTTTTTCAGGGTCGTGACTATTCCAAATATGCCAAGCATAACTGTCTTGAATCCATCCCCATTTTTGATTTGACTCACTGCGAGAAAGTAAATTACTGGATTAACAACTCTCCATTCTCCAGGTTTCATTATATTGAATGATTTATTCCCAGAGTATATCAATTTGAACGTACAAATCGATGATGTTTCTAAACAGGTGCACATTCCCAAATTATTTAACAGTCGCTTTGAATGATGCATTTCTTGTCAATTATACTAGAGCTTCCCATCAAAATTCATATTGGGTAGTAATTATGATCTTGAAAATTGTTTAATAGAGCTTAGGTGCTTTGTCATAATTTCACATTAGAAAGTTTGGTTATATCTCAGTAGTGTAACTCAAACGAGCTAATGTGAAATAGACGGAAGGAGTTCTTGATTGATCAATCCACAAAGCTTACCCTTTCTTCTTCTACAGGTTGTAATTTGGTGGTCAACCCAATTTGTATAATGCATTATTATTTGATTGTATTTGTTGAAAGTTTCCAAAATTTCCTTCAAGTGATAGTCAGACGTTACAGTAGAAAGATACCCTTCCTCACTTTGTACGAGGTCATTGACATTGAAACTTAAGTTTAGAGTATATAATATACAAAACCTATTAGAATTTTATGTTGTTAATATTCTGGACATACTCCGCTTTAATTGTTCAATTCACGCAGTTGTATGCTTAGATTAATATAAACTATTCGATACATTCAAGTTGTCTACCTCACACATGTTGGCCGCTCTCTACTTGACTCTTACTTCTTTTCTTACTGCTAAACTTTTCAAACTGTTTCAGCCTTATGAAATTGCCATGTTTTTATTGAGAACCCTACAAAAACAGCGAAAGTTTTCATCAACCATTTTATTTCGCCAGTCAAGTCAAAATACTTTTCTAAAATGGCCTTTACCTTCCGACAGTTTTCATGGAGATAGTGTAAGACGAAAGCACTACGAGCTCATTCATCATTGTTCTACAGAAACACAAATTTTCTGAGAGTATCCTCAAACTTGAGAAGCACTGGAAAGATCAAATTGAAAATGATTTCGTATTAAGAAAGAAGGTGGGTTTTTATGGGTATGGCTTTAAACATTTTTCCCTATAGTCGGAGTCGGGTAATAAGGCTAAGAAGTATGTATTATCCATGTTTCCGTATCCTTCTGGAGTGCTGCATATGGGGCATATGAGAGTGTATACCATCTCAGATGTTACCGCTAGATACTATCGTTTGAATGGTTTTAATGTGAGTCATCTTTGTATTCAACCTTTACTAATAGTAAATATCAGGTTATTCATCCTATAGGTTGGGATGCCTTCGGTTTACCAGCAGAAAATGCTGCTAGGGATCGAAAAGTTGATCCAAAAGAATGGACAGTGGGAAATATTAAAACTATGAAAGAGCAATTGCTTCGAACAGGAGTTCAATTCGATTGGGAACGAGTATTTTCCTATGTAATACATTTAAACCGACTTTTTTTTCATTCAGGAATTATTTACTTGCGAGAGTGATTATTATAAATGGACACAATGGATATTCTGCCGTTTGTTCGAGAAAGGGCTCTTGAAACGGAATCTGGCCGAGGTACGTATTTCAGTGAACCCAAATCAGTTATTAATCTCGAAACGTAGGTGAACTGGGATCCTGTGGATGGTACAGTTCTAGCTGCTGAACAGATTGATAGTGAGGGTCGAAGTTGGAGAAGTGGAGTCAAAGCTGAAAAAAAAAAGCTCAGGCAATGGCTCATTGAAACTCCTAGATATGCTAAGGTACGTTATCAGTAAGATCGTATTTAATCAGTTTCATCTCAGAGACTATCAGAAGGGTTAAAGAAAGTCGAAAACTGGCACGATGTAGCTGATATTCAAAGTAATTGGATCGGGCGTTGTGACGTCCGTCGCTTTATGTTCCCAATAAAAGTAGATTGAGTTAATGAGTTTTTAACTCACCTGCTATTGTTAGAATGATGCGGGTGAAATGATGGAAGAGCTACTCGATTTAAGATTGAAGGATGCTCATGCTATATCCAATGGTTGGTTTGTTGTGCTCCGTCAAGGTCATTCGTTGAGTGATCCTACCAAAAAAGATTCTTTGGATACTTGTAAGCTATGATATGTAAAACTTGAGATTTTTCATTACCCATCAGATCTTCTACCGATCAAAGTGTTGAATGGTGTTAATGGATCATGGATGTCAGTTGTAGTTGTACCGAAATCTTATGATGGTCCCGAAATGTTCCTCGACTCTCGTTTGGGTGACTCTGTTGTGGATGAGCAGCTGATATCACGCTTCCAACTTGGTAACCCTAAGAAAGTTATGCCAATGACTATGAATGACATCGAAGAAATTGCATCAGTAAGTTATTCCACCGTATAATAATTTATACCTATACAGTTCGGAGGATTTGGTGGTTACGAAACTTCCCGAACGCTACAAGACTGGGTAGTTAGCAGGTAAGAAATTGATTTTTTGTTAACACTAAGAATTGGTTATCAGACAAAGGAAATGGGGAACGCCAATACCTATGGTAATCAGTCCTGATGGGAAGAAAGCTTGTCCTTTAGCCAATACATTTCTCCCTCTGATACAAGGAACTGTTGATGGTTCTCAGAAAATTCCTTGCGATCAGTTAAGGGAATCATGATTTTTCTGAGATCTTCTTCTTCTTAGGTTTTCTGATGGGTATGGGTTCATAGAAACAGACACTCTTGACACTTTCTTTGATTCGGCATGGTATTACTTGAGATATCTCGATCCCAAGAATGATAACTTTTTGATATCGAAAGAAGCTACCACTGACATGCCAGTAGACGTTTACGTAGGCGGAGTAGAGCATGGTAATGTTAGCAGTTATTCTCATCACTGAATAGTTTTATATAGCTGCTGTTCATATGTTTTTCGCCAGATTCATTTCTTACTTCTTAACGGACATTGGTGTGACAAATGTAAGTGTGTTGAACACATCATAAATAATTTTAGTTTTTAGTTCCATGAGCCTTTCAAGCATTTAATTCCACAAGGGATTGTACGAGGGAAAACGTTTGTTGTACCTGAGACGGGTCTTTATGTGAAGCCAGAGGAAGTTATTTGGACAGGTTTGTTGAATTATATTCTTTACAAAAAAAGATTTTTCTCAAGATTCTAAGCCGAAAACGAAAAACGGAGAGATTCTATCTATAGAGTATGAAAAAATGAGCAAATCAAAGCATAACGGTGAGTTGGATTTTCCTCGATGTTAAAAACTGTTTTTCCAGGCGTCGACCCTTTGAGCGTGCTCAATAGAGATGGTATTGATATGATTAGACTTCAGCTATTAGAAGCTGCAGCTCCACGTCAAGCTATTAATTGGGGCGAATCTGGTGAGAAGAACTTTTTGAATTTCATTCATTCTGATTTGAAGATACAAAAGGATTGAAAAAATGGTTAGACCGTGTAGCATGGGTTGTTTCTACATACATCGAACAGAGATCTCCGAGTAATACAACAGCTACTACCAGAAACGTTGAAGCTACCTTGAAAGAGACTTACAACTATTTTGTTCGAAATGTGAATCACCTGAGATTTTATCAATCAAACTCTAATCAATCTAGATTTCAATGTGCTTGGAAGTATTACATCTGCATAATACAGCTTTAGCAAGATTACAGGGAATGACCAATGCGTTACGGGTTTGCCATGATCTTATTGTTTTCATATTTAAGCATCCTTTAGAAAACGGATCCGCATGTTCTTGGCTCGAGTGAGCAAGCTGAACGATTAGTTCACGCGTTAGTGACTATGCTTCAGGTTAGCTCTTGAAGCTGTGTTTATCAAATAGTTGATATTAGATATATGCTCCTCATACCGCTACGGAACTATGGAAGGCGTTGATATCAGTTGAAACAATATCTAAATTTAAGAGAAGTTCGGACTCACTGTTGCTGGTTCATGTTTCAAGAGTTTAGATGAATCTATTGCACTCCAGCCATGGCCAGAAGTTGACGATGATTGTGATATAGATTTTACACTAATGGTATTTCGTTGTGTGCAATGCGTGGCAACAAAACATTATTCCAGATAAACGGAATAAGTGCAGGACGGGTGTCAACGCCCAGGAAAGAAGTTGAAAATTTGTCTTTTCCCGAAGCAGTAGAAAGATCGCGTAATGTTGAGCACAAAGATTTCCTTCAAAGAATAGCTACGAAAGGAGTGGAAGTAACGTATGATTCCGTAAGTAAACGCGAAGGTATTTTATAAATTTTGGACCGAATCATGCTCTGTTTCGGCAGGTTTCCACTTAACGATTAATGCAACGGTGAGAAGCGAAGAGGATGTCAGAAAAATTCAGAAAACTCTGGATGAAATTCAGTTTGAAAAACGAAAATCTGTTTCAAAAACCAAGAAAGAGAAAAAAAGTAAGAAGTAAGCGGGTACATTAGAACTAGGTTAGATTTGATTGTTATTTGTTGAACGATGATAAAATATTTATTGATTTTTGTGTTGATATTTGCTCGGTTGCTCAACCTTCTCTACTGCCTGATTTTCTCATGAACGATGGTCATTTTTTAATCAAGAAATGACTGCATTTGAAGAACTCGGTGTCATTCCTGAGTTGGGAGAAGCGGTGTCAAAGATAGGATGGGAGTAAGTTACAAACGATTCATTTCGGTTTTGTATATCTTTGCAGATTTCCCACATCTATTCAATGCGAGGCCATACCATGTATTCTAGGAGGTGGTGACGTTCTGATTGTATGTTACAAGTTCTAGCGAGAAGTTTTGAAATAGTCTTTCTAGGCAGCCGAAACTGGAAGTGGTAAGACGGGTGCTTTTTGTTTACCGGTTGTACAGATTGTTTGGGAGAATAGAAAAGGTTCTGAGAGCTCCAAACCTAATTCTAAACCCTTAAGTAAGTTGTAATTAGATCTCTCATAAACGAAGAATTCAGTTCGTCCTGGATGGAAGTTGAATATTGGAGATAGAGATGCAGGATTAGGGTTGAAACAGGGAGAACTCGAATGTTCTAGTGAGAACGGACAGTGGTGTGGTGCAAGATGTATGGTCGGTGTGCACACTAGAGGTTTCCATCTAAATTGAACAAGTATGCCAATACTAGATTTTAGGGAAGTATTACTATGAAGCAAAGATAGTTAAAGACGGTTTGTGTCGTATGGGATGGGCGACGTTGGTGGGAAGTTTGAATATTGGTAAACCAGTGTTGGACTTAGGACCTAACTTTCTGTTACAGGAACCGATGGAGAGAGTTACGGGTTTGGTGGAACTGGAATGAAAAGTCACAGAAAAAAGTTCGATAAATATGGTGAAAGTTTCACTACTGGAGATATTATTGGTTGTTTTATTGACCTAGACAACAAAAAAATCTGGTTCGTACGGGATCAATATTCATCACCTATTAAAATCCAGGTGGTCCAAAAACGGAAATCCTTTCGAGGTAGCTTACAGCATTCCACAACAGCTTGTAACCAGTGGTTTGTTTCCCGCTGTTGTATTAAAGAACTCAGGCTTACGTCTGAATTTTGGTGACACACCTTTCGCTCATCCACCTAATAACGTGAGTTCTGTTTTTTCTTCAGCAAATGAGTAAACGCTTCTTAGAATTTTGTGGCGGTATGTCAAGCAGATGATGCTCATGTGAAGTTTGTAGAAGAGCAAAAAACACAGAAGTTAGATCCTCTTGCTCCTTTATGTATTGTTCTCGAACCCACAAAAGAAATGGTTGATCAGACTCATGAGAACTTGAGCCATTTCTCGAAGCAGTTAAGAGATCCGTCTATCAGGTATTTCTTCATATTATTCTGAAAAAACTTACATCACAGGTGTGTTGCCTTGAGCAGAGGAGCCGTAGATAAGGCAAATCTCGAACAAGGTTGTGACATAATAACAGGTTTGTTACAATTTTCTGTTCCCCCTAAAATTTCTTCTTAAGGTAGCATTCAACGCGTTTATGATTATGCTTATAACAAAGTAATATCATTAAATTCTTTGCAATTCGTAATTATCGATGAAGCGGTAAGGATGACTCTAATCCACCGACGTAATAAGCTCTTTCAAGGATTCATTATTAGCAGATGCTGGAGGAGCTGGAAGAATGTTGTCTCAGTTTCTTGAAATGTTGCCGTTGACGGCTTGCGATGGGACAAGGAGACAAGTAAGTGATTAATTAGAATACTCAAGACATGACTTATAGATAATTGCCTGTTCTGCTACTTTGCATAATATGAACATCAAGAGCTTTGCTGTAAGTTGCATTTACGAACAATAACAAAAAATGTTGATTTTAGAATAGATTCATGACCTTCCCACAATGGATTGATCTGAAAGGGATGGATACTGTTTCAGAAAACGTTCATCATGTTGTATGTTATGTAGATCCTGTAGAGGATAAGCAGTGGATTCGGCTTCGACCAGAATCGAATAGATTAGAAGTATGCGGATTGAACCATATAACTGTTATTGCATCTCGCTTCACTTTAGGATGATGGAATACATCAGGCAGATCGAATCATGCCAGGAACAAAAGATCAGAACACTTTATCATTGGGAACGAAAATTTTGAAAGGAGCATATGTTTTAAAAGTAAAAATTTTAAGTTCTACATCAGAATTATATTTTTCAAAGGCTATTCAAACCTTGAATATGGATCAATGTATCATTTTCTGTAGAACAAAACAACAGTGCGATCACATGGAAACTTTTTTGCAAAAACACGGTGTGATTTTCGCACCTCGATCTTAACTCAAATTTTGTTCAGGGATAAAAGCAGCTTGTTTGCATGGAGATAGATCACCAGAAGAGAGAAAAGCAAATTTAGACAAATTCAGAGTGAGAGTGCGCATGAGATCATTCAAATATGTATATTTAGAAAAAAGAGATTCCATATATTATCTGCACAGATGTTATGGCGAGAGGAGTGGATGTTCATGGTGTGCCGTACGGTTCATAAAACATGGTCTATTACCTAACTTTACTTATATTTTTCAAGTTATCAATGTAACCTTGCCATCAGAGAAAGAATTGTACGTGCATCGTATTGGAAGAGTCGGAAGAGCTGAAAGGTTTACCGTATTTTCTATATAATCAATAAGCTCTATTCAGGATGGGTTTGGCCATCTCGTTAGTATCCAACTATGAAGAAAAAGTTTGGTTTCATAAGTGTAGACGCCCAAACTGTAATAATACAGCAGATATATCAAAGCGAGGATGTAGCATCTGGTTCAATGAAAAACAGGTACGAGAAACAATTAAACTTACCATTTCTTCTGTAGATGTTAGCAGATGTAGAAGAGCATATTGGGCAGTCAGTAGCTCACGTTGATCAGTTTTTCCATATTCCCGTAAACGAATTTGACGGAAAAATTGTGTATGGAGCTAAGAGAGGTAACGGGAACTTGCGTAAAAACTTTTCATCGTTTATTTTTGAGGAAAAGGGGAGGTGTTTGAAGGTCACGCCAAAACACTGGCTTTATCTGTTCAACAGTTAGCTGATCTGGAGAGATCTCTTCAAACTAGCTATTTGAGTTCAGTTTCCACGCATTTCAAAAAAATGCAAGTGTTGTGACAAATCTAATATTCGGAATATTTATCAGTTATATTCTCTTGAATAAAGTTATAATACGTATAGATTTCCCTACTTATTTCAGCTCAGGTATAACCCATTTTTGTCGCCAGCGGTAGTTGGCTGCGGTTACTGTTGAAATCTGTAGTTTGGAGTTTATTAGATTTATCATAGAATATTTCAGAACAATGAATTTCAATACTCAAACAAAAAAATCAAAAAGTCATCAGTATAACTTCTGGATAGATCCTCATTAGAGCTTGAGAAGCGCTCCTGAATATATGAAACTCGTAATTGATTAACAGTCAAAATCACAAAGAATGCTACAAATAATTAGACGAACTACAGGTAATTGTTGCCAAGGGAAGTTCCTAAGAATGATTGACTAATACTTTGAGCAGGAGATGATTGTCTAATTTTTCTGGATCTAGGCTGAATTGGAACTTGAACATCCTCAACAAGTTCATCGTCAAGCTCATTACCTACAAATAATGTGTACATATGAAAAACTAAGATCTCTCACTCATCATTTGTCGCTGTACTAACAATTTGTACATGCCTTCCTGATTGATAAGTTCCTTATGAGTTCCGATTTGTTCTACTTTTCCCTGCAAGTTCGCGTAACTATGAATGGAAAAAATGAACGAACCTTATTGATAACCACTATCTTGTCTGCATTCTCTACTGTACTCAACCTATGAGCAATCATCACGACAGTTTTACCTTTCAAGTTTTTACTGATAGCTTCTTGAACCTAAACAAGAAAGTACGACCTTTGGTGGGTTTTTCAATTTACTATATGTTCGCTTTCAGAATCCAAAGCAGATGTAGCCTCATCCAACAGTAAGATGACTGGTTCACGCACCAGAGCACGGGCTATAGCAATACGTTGTTTCTGTCCTCCTGATTGAAAAAATGAGCATTTCATATGACTAAGTTCTCATACCAGACATTTGACTTCCCTTTTCACCTACATCCGTGTTATAGCCCTCTGTTGTATCCATAATGAATCCATGAGCATTAGCCAGGGCAGCAGCATTCTGTACCATGTCATCATTGTAGTAGTCCAAACCATATCCGATATTATCCGTAACACTTCTGGCATATAATACGGGCTCCTGACCCACTAAAGCGACCTGAACATGTTCTTCTAGTAGATCAAATCTGGGATGAATCTACCTTGGTATGGAGGTATTTATGATCATAATCTTTAACTGATACTCCATCAAGCAATACTTGCCCACTAGTGGGTTCATAGAAATGTTCCAACATTGCTATGCAAGAAGATTTTCCTCCTCCCGATGGTCCAACCAATGCAACTACCTCTCCGGGCTCAACTGTGAAAGTCAAGTCCTTGAACATGCATAAACTTGAGTCTATTAATTATTTTAGACTCACTTCCATAATCGGGAGATCAGGACGAAGAGGGTAACTGAACTTCACGTTTCTGAACTCAATACGACCAATAAGCTTGTCTGGTCTATAGGAGCCATTGTTCTGAACATTATTTGTTATTGTTCAACTACAATCGGGAAAGTTACATCAACCCTTGGGTCCCGATCAATGAACTCGAAAACTTTTCTTGATGCTCCTACCGCTTGCATAAGGCCATTCCATACCTCACCCAGTTCCTAAAAATTCTCCTTGTTAACTGATATCGGTATAATAAGGTAATCACCCTCAAGTTCTCTCCTAGTTGGAACTGGTACAGAAGGAAAGAAACCAATAATCCAGATGAAACCTGCAGTTTTCATTATAGATTTCACCCTAATAATCAAAAGAAACTTTATCTTGAATCACAAGATGCCCTCCGTATGCCAATACAACTGTCAGAATAGCCATTTGAAGTAACTATAAATATTCACTTCTTAAGATAGCTTGATAGTTAGGCTACCTCGTTAGTCCAAATGAGTCCGGTCACAACCATACAACGTTTTGTAGCGATTCGAAGAGTTTCGTTCAAGTGTTCCAAGAAGCTGAAATGGAAATACTTCATGATCCACGCTTAATGAATTACCGTCTAGCCTCGAAGCGTTCACAAGCAAAACTTTTAACTGTACGAATAGATGAAATAACTTCTTCGGCCACATCATTGGATTTGGCGATAGTGTCTTGAGACTCAGCACACAATCTCTGAATGGACGATTATATACGATATGAACCAACTTGAGTAAGCTTACATCATACCACACGCCGAAAATTTTGTTGAAAAGGAAGATGATAGGAATATTAATCAGAGTAATCATCGATAGCTTCCACGATAGTGTGAACATGAATATCAGGGATCCGAAAAGCATGGTAACATTTCTGGAAACGTGAGTAAACATAGAAATATCTGACTGGTACAACCTCGTGAGCACATTCATGTAAAGGGACAAAGTGTTAGACATAGTCTGGCAATCAGATGTTAATCGTGAACAGATTTCTCCTGAAATACTCGTTGAAGTCTACATTGAGTTATTCTTATGAGTTTTTATTTGAGTTATAACTATTACCTGTCTTGTTAGCATCGAAAAACCCGATTTCTTGCTTAATCACTGATCTAAATAAATCATTACGAATCTGACGATCAATGGTAGCATGAGCATATGTGAAAGATCCACCACGCAAACCTCCGAAAAAGGCACTGAAAAAAAAGCAGTATTTAAACGATTTTCAAGCACCTACCAGGCCAAGGATAACAAAGCCATAACGCCAACAGTTCTATGAAGTTTTTCATAGGTGCCTTCATTTCCGAAAACAGCGGCAACTACTTCTCCAGTATAGTAAGGGATGAAAACACGACCTGTTAAAAAATCATCAATTCATAACTCTTTGGTTTTTATTTTATTTTATCAGAGTTTAGTATACGTGAGGTTTCGTGAGATCGCGAAGGCTCAGAGGTATCTCATTTTTCAAACAATCATTTCTATCATACTACTTATTTCATTTATTTCTTCTTGAGGTTTTTTTCTAAACTTTTCTTTTATGAGAATGCAAAACTGTGAACTAACATAAGGAGTAACTGAGCAGGAAGAAGAAGGCCAATCCATAGTAGCGCCATTCACGTCCCATATAACTGAGAAGTCGGAACAGTAAGGTAAAAGTTTCTCTCTGTTCAGCCTGTTTAAGAGCTTCTTCTTGTCTTATGCGTTCTTCATAAGCTGGATCCCCGAAAATAGTACTGTCTCCAGTACCAGGTTCGTACTCATGAACTTTAGTAAATATGTTAGTCCACAATGTCTGAATGTTGCCCTTTAAGTTTGACTCTACTTCGTTTCTAGAACCTGGACAGCTAAACTAGCGAAACAACACCAAATCATAAGTATCCAATCTCCGACAGCAAGCTTGAGGTTGTCATCTTCATAAAAAGCTAATAACTTGGACGGGGCGAAGGCAAGCATCACCAACATAATACCGAAAACCACATTACTAAACTTGTGTGGTCTGTAAATACATTTATATGAAAATATTACCTAGATTTTGCTGCTGCCTGAGCAAATCCATTTGGAGATGTCCACGCTGCTATTCCTCCTCCGAGCAGAATACAATCTCGCAGCATCGCTACTCCCTATGGTATACTTTTTGTCTTTTTTCCTTGTGTAATCGCCTACGAGAAAGTCTACAGGGTTAACCAAAAAGCTGTAGTTGGCTAAATCGAACCAGTGCTTGATATTATCCACTGTGAACTCCTAAATTGAGCTCAGTTAATCACAGTTTTTGAGAAAGATACAAACCTTTCCATTCCATGCCAACCCAAAGATGTTCACGGTTATGTCAATGACAGAGAAGAACACGGCAATGTAAAGGGCATGCCCCCCTGAGTAAAAGGCTGTCATAACCCCTGAAAATTTTGATCTTGAATAGCTAGGGAACGCTCGTCTTAATTAGGTAATGTAAAAAATGAAACTTAGAATGGATTCTTTTGCTTGAGCATAAACGTTTGGTGGTTTTGTCTAAGAAATCAATTGATATGCTATCTGGGACAAAATTGATAAGAGCAGCTTCAACGAGTAGCTACTCGACAGTGGTAAAAGGGCAAAAAAGTGATAACTGTTGTGAAAAAAAAGATTCTATTGCCGAATAGAATGAAAAAAGTGTGTAATCTCTAAATAACATATAATGATAGAAAGAGAATTATTTTTTGTGAGGTCTTGCGTTTATCTGTTGGTTTGTCATTTGAAGAACAAGTATAGAATCCAGGTTCAGATTCTCATAAGTTACACCAATAAGTTGTAGAATTGCATATCTGGTTTTCTTTAATGTTTTACTTGAGGTTTTATCTTTCCAATTAAGCTGTTATCAAATATAAGCCTGCTTTTCAATCGTCTGGTATGAATTACTGATTTCTAGCTTCCAAAATCGACTTCCTCCGAATTTGCTAGGAAATGAGAGGTCTACTGTCTGAAGTAATGTGAAAAAGAATTACGATTAGAATAATTTATTGAGATCTACATGAAGAGCGTATACATTCAAACTGTTAAGACAGGATGTTTATCTAGACGAACACTAACTGATCTAAGTTCAGGAACGCGTTTACGTTTTTTCTTTTCTGTGACATCTTCAGCAGACAACGAACGGCGAAGCTGTAAAGTAAGAAATCAAACCCCAAAGAAAAAACTGCTTTCCATACTCCTTTAAAGACAGCATTTGCTGCCAATTCCTCTACGTGGTTGCGTGGTTGATGAATGTCTCTGAGAAACAATTCATTATTTTTGAAAATTTCAGATGGAGATAATACCTCAAGTATTTCCAACACGATATCGATACTAATGCCAACCAAACTTGGAATCCAAATAGGAAAAGGTAAATTCCGAACTTTAGAAGGTAATTGAAAGACTGGTCAGGTGAATTGTCTTTGGAACTTTTCACTTTTGAGAACTTGTTCGGAGATTTTGTTACAGTTGGATAGTTGGTATAAACATGACTTCTCAATGTGTCACGATACTGATCAGACAAAGCCATCAATAGATTTATCATTCCGAGAAGAGCTACGCTAACCAGGCCAACTCCCTAGGACTACTTGATTCATGTAAGATACGCTCAATACCTGTATAATCAGATAGGGAATCAGAAATTTTGGTTTTTTATATTTCATCGCAATTAGCAGTGAGCATATTAGAAGAAGACCACCTGACAAGGTCAGGAAGCTGTTGAAAACTTCTTCTTCATTCTTGAAAACAGGGTGAGATTATGGGAAAGGGAAGAGGAAAACTTACGAGTTCATAAACTTTTCTTGAGAAGTTTCCACTTTGATTTTTTATATTTTTGTTTATCTGAAGTTTAGGATTCTTCATTTCCACTTATAAGTGAAAACCTCATTGGAAAAGTAGAAAGTAACCAATAGTTCGTAGGCATCAGCAAAAATGGTTATGAACAGTAAACAAACCATCAATCTCACTCCGGTCTGTATGACTTTCCAAATTAGTTAAATTTTGTATTTACTTCAGAATTTAGGGTGATCGATAATATTTTCATTCGAGTATTTTAGATATGTTGTCAACTTTTCTGTCGGACCCTCCGAATCTCTGTGGGAAGCCTGAACAGTTTGACGAGAAGGTCTCTGTCTTAATTCTTTATCACTCGTCATTCGTATCATTTAGAATATCGGTTGTAATCGATATGAGAAATTTAGAAAATTCAACTCACCACAGAATGTGCATGTCCACAAAGACACAAGTATTTGGGATCGTTTGGATCAAAAACGAAAGGTTGCAATGGAGCTTCATTACTGTCGTCCATCTCACATACAGAATCTCTAGTTGATGACACACAATGAGACATAGTTGCGTTCTGTTCTGAGTCAGAGTAGCTGACTCGTTTGGTCGGCGGATTCATATCAGTAGATTAGGTGAATGCCAATAGAATATGTTTAGCTCTAACTCTAAAAACAGACACGTGGGGCCGACATGCTGTTTTATGAAATGACTAGTTGGAGGAAGTTGCTTGCTCTTGGCGTGCTGAGGTTGAAAATGGGTTGAGCAGACAGAAACTTGAAAGCTGTCAGACAACTATTCTCAAGATGCCGCTAATGATGTTCGTATATAGCCTTCTTTTAACATGATTTAACTAATTTTCAGTCATATGTCGAGAGATCATTATAAATATAGTCGAAGCTTCTGAATAATCGACCAGTTTTTCGAATAAGCGAAGAATAAATAGTGGGGGAATGCAAAAGGTGATATTTGCATTATAAGGTTTTGCTATTTGAGGAAGAACATTTGACGATCTGATACGGCTTTATCTATATACTGGTCGTATTCTTATGAATCATTCAATTCGAACTATCCAGTTAGATTGAAATTAGTTGGACTAAAGGCAAATGTTGTAGTATTTCATAGATTTGTATATTTATGTATCACTTCTGATATATAAACAGATCTAATTAACATATGGTAGGCGTTTGTAAACAATAGAGAATTCCTGATTTTGGCTGAATATCACTAGTATAAAATATAAAATTTCTAAGAAAAATAACATTTGTCTTTTCAGTTGATTCCTTCGGTCATTCAGCGATATGAGCTGCTCATGTCATAAGGCTTAATAACCAAAGAAATCACCTAAAGACATCAAACTATTCGTGGTTGGTGAGGGAAGGAGCAGTCAACAGACACGTCAGTATGTATTTCACAATGAAATTCGAATGAAGAATCAGGGCGTAACCATATATGGAAGATCATTGAATAGATCTGAGAAGGCAGTACGAGGATACGATTCAACTAGGTGGGCAAAGGCTAATATACGCAACAGTTGGAACTGAAACTCCGCCCATTTTAGAAGCAGATCTGTATTCAGATGACAGTGAAGACGCCAAACCTGAAACCAAAATGAAAGTAATTCAAAAGAAACGCCCCCTTGGCGCCCCTCACTCTTATCTTTTTAAACACCTATTCTTTATCAGCTTCAGCGCTAGGAATTGATCAATGAAGAAGTAAACTGACAACCAATACTATTACTGCTCAGGCTTACATTGGAAAGGAGTGAGCTGATGACGAATATCTAGAATCTTCGAAAATATCATTATCCTCTATTGAACCGAATAAGGCAAGATTTTCTAAAAACAGTGACATATTTATGGGTTAAGCGACCGATCAGATTCGCGATAGGAAACCATATACAGTCACAGCGGGACGCAAAATCTTGGAGCCTATGAAAGAAATTTTCAATCCCCGATCTTTCATATACTCTTCAGCCTTATACTATCAGGAACAGAAAGCACAACAACTCTTCATTAATAGAAGACTGGTACAAACTTGTAACCACCGAACAACAAAATTAAATATCAAGACAATTCCTCAAAAAATGGAATATAAAAAAAACAAATGAGTTTATCAATCACTCTCTTCATCTTTTTGGGCAGTTCTTTTGGCATCTCTACTAGCTTCTTCCACGTCCATCTGTTGGTCCAGACCTTTAGGAGCAACCATGCCATCCTAATAAACATCTCAGGTTAATTTGGTTTCAGATCTTGGCTACCTCATCACTTTCTTCCTCATCACTGTCATCACTATCATCTTCCTCTTCAAGTTCAGCAAGCTCGAGTTTTCGTTTCATCTCAGCTTCGTCCAAATCAGAGATAACTCTTGCCTAGAAAACGAATCATACAGGTTATTCATATTATCTGTTTTCACTTCTTCTTTTATAGCGAATTTTCCTCCTTTCTTTTCAATCAGATCTTTTATAACATCCAAAGCTTTTTGAACAGACTCCAATCCAGTCTCCTTAAAAAAAGTACGTTTTGCTTATGGTTGCATCATTATAAACTAACTTTATCTAAAGTTTGAGTGGTAACGACGAAGTGGGGAGCAGCAATCAAGTGGATCTATAGAGATTCAAAACAATGCAATCGATGACTGGAACGACAACCAACCTTAAGAGGAAGAGCCTCAGTTGAGCATTGCTTTCCAGCGATCAATGCTTCCTTCACAGCATCAATTCCTTCATAAGCGAAACAAGAAACTTCAATATCAGCTCGAATCTGGATAGAACAAAACTGTAAAGCAGCCAAAAATCACTAATACTTTGACTGCTTGAGGAGTGAGTTTTTTTCTAATATCCTCCAGAAGTTTTTCTTTTACTTCGCTGCTTACGTCACATTCATCGAGAATCTCAGGATTGCTAAATATGAGGAATAACTTTCTTCTTCAATTATGTGATGAGGAACCTGATGGCTTTTTTAAAAGCATCATAGGCTGCAGCTTTTCTCTTTTCTTTACGGTCAAAGTACCAAGCTGTCTTATTATATAACTCCTCTAGTTCCTTATCGGATGTGTAACCTAATTGTTCAGCCACATGACGAAGAATGCTAAACAAGGATACTGCAGGAAAAGCACGGTTTGTCGAACCTATTTACAGCCTTAGCTTTAGCATGTCTATCTTCGCACTGTAGAAGATCTTTGGCATAAACTCTTCTTTTGGATAAGTCAATATATCCTGAAAAAACAATTAGTTTTTATTGACAATTGCAGCAGCCTACCTTTATCCTTGTCGACTCGAATCACAACAACACATTCGTTTCTACCAACACGAATAAGTTTATTCACCGACCTGATACGTCTACGAGACAATTCAGACAGAAGAATCATTCCTTCTGTAAGCGTTAACATTGGGAAGATAGAGAAAAGTAAGAGCAAACCTATGTTATTATACTCAGAGAGAACGACATAAGCTCCCATGTCAGCGATGGACCTTACATTAACAACAACAGTTTCTTCCACATCTGGGAATTGATTCTCGTAGAAACGACACTTCAGAGCAGACATCGCTAAAAATAAGTCCTGGTAAGTATTATGTACTATGAGCTGATAGAAATGCGGCTTGAACCATTCGATAGTAATATTTGACTCATATTATAAATTTATAAACAAACTAAACAATATGCAACAAATCTCCTAGAGAACAACTAACAAATCTAGATCTACATGATTATCAAGGAAGAACATTTAAAAAAAACAGAGACCGTATTTTTAAACAGTAGGTAAGTTCAACAGAGTCCCTTGGTTTCCGGGAATATATGTAACATTCTTAGATTTGCTCATTCTTTCAGCAATTTCCTCAGCTGCTTCAATTTTTCTCAACTCTACTAAACCATCACCAGCATCAGCAAAAGCCTAAGAATGGGTTTAAAAGCTTTAAAAAATATATTCAGAAAACCTTAGCCAAAAGCTTAGCAGCTTGAGCATCTCCTTCAGCAGTCGTGATAGCAGCAATCTAAACATAATCATGCGTGCATGTTGCAGTGCTTAGTAACCTTCATCTGTTCTGCTTTTTCTACAAGGTAACGGGCTTTTTCAGCTTCTTGTTGAGCAACTTGTTTCATTTCAACAGCTTCCGTGAATTCTCTGCCGAATCCAAGATGAGTCTAAGTAAGAATTCAGTGAAAAAAACATTCCCACTTCAACTTACAATAGAGATATCATCGAGAAGTAAGCCGAACTGAGCTGCTCTTTGAGAGAGCTCGACAGAAACTTGATCAGATACAAGTTCACGCTGCGTGATCATCTCATGAGCGTCAAATTGAGCCTTGAAATGTGTTTGAAGGAGTAGCACAAGAAATGACTTACAACAATGGCTTTCAAAACTTCATTTGTGATAGAAGGTAGAACTCTCTCGGCATAATCAGTACCGATGTTCAGATAAATACTTGGTAATTTACTTGGATCTGGACGATGCAATATACGTAAAGTGATAGTAATGTTTTGCAAATCTGTAAGAACCTTACAATCTTGGGATGAAAGATAATTAAGAGCCATACCTTTGCTACCGGTGATAGCAGTAATTTGTCTAGGAGTGGAACGAATGTCGAAAATGATAGGTTTTTGAACCCATGGAATTAAAAAATGAGTTCCTTCATCGACCACATAATCTTTAACTCCTGTGAATCTATCGAAAAGAACAGCACGTTGTCCACCGTCAACTGTGACAAACAGTTTAAAAAGGAAAATTTATATCAAATCACCGTTAAATAATGCAGACTGTGCTACTCCTCCTGCTATAGCAAGCCCAACTCCAAGAGACCCGATTCTTCCCAGCAACTTCTGTGCGGCTTGAGCGGCCATAGTTTCTGAATATTCTTATTTACAAAAACGGAACGTAAAGAAGCCTTTTATCATATACATATATAGTAAACAACTATATCATAACGTTTAGATATTCTGTCCAAGTTTTTGACGCAAAAATAAATAGTCTCACAACGAATTTTTTTTGTTAAAGGGCGGTTTGCTATTGCGGGGCAGCCACGAAGCGTTTCTCATATGTAATGTACGATAGCGCTCATTGAGAGGGCTGCCTCACAGTTTCACCTCAATCTGCTCGAACAGAAACTTTATTTTTTAGTATTCCTTATCCTAAGAAATTTCTGAATATAGATCATTGTAGTACCATATCTTTTATTTATTTTCTCTTGTTTTCATGTTTTTATAATTATATTTCAATTATTTGTATCTGTTTTAAGGTAATATGGCCCACGCTAAGAGAAAGACAAGAAAGCTTAGGGGTCACGTGTCCCATGGACACGGTCGTATTGGCAAGCATAGAAAGCATCCCGGAGGTCGTGGTAATGCTGGTGGTCAACATCACCACAGAATCAACCGTGACAAGTACCATCCTGGTTACTTCGGAAAGGTTAGCTTTTAAAATTATCATTCTCTCAATTGATCAAAAGATGACAGTTTCTAAATTCATTTGAATATTTGTATCTAGTGACAATCCTATTTGAACTTAAAAGAATACTTGAATCATTTCTAGGTCGGTATGAGAGTTTTCCATCTCAACAAGAACCACCACTACTGCCCAGTTGTCAACGTCGACAAGCTCTGGTCTCTTGTACCAGAAGAGCACAAGGAGAAGGCTTCCGCCGATAAGGCTCCAGTCATCAACTGCGTACAGGCCGGTTATTTCAAGGTACGCTGAATGATGAGTACAAACGCCTATTATTGGAGTATAATCGCTAATTTCTAAGTATATATTTTATTTCTAGGTCCTCGGAAAGGGAAATTTACCGAAAACACCACTGATTGTTAAGGCCAAGTACTTCTCTCACGAAGCCGAAAACAAAATCAAGGCTGCCGGAGGAGCTTGTATCTTGGTGGCATAAAGCCATCGTTGTTGAATTTATAAACGATAATGTAATATGTTCATTTTTCTGTTTGATCAATTCTGGTTCACTGCCAGTTCATACTAGCCATTGATTTTACTGATATTTCTATGTGATTTATTTAGCGTTCTCCGAAATCGAAATGGTTCCCAAATCAATTTTCGGCTTGCTCAACGGAAAAGATGACTGAATGCGTACTACTATTTTGAAAGTAAGTTTCAGAGAGAGTACACTCTAATACAATACGTAATTATAGAAGTTCAAGAACTTCACCTGATGACCTGACTTGATGGGGAAAAAAGGGATTCAAATTGACCTCCTGAACTGTTAAAAGTAATTTTTATTTTCATATTCTCAGTTTTCTTCCTGTTCTTAACATTGATGATTTGGTAGTCATTCAATGTCATAATGGAAGTAAATTAAGTCGCATGATACTCGAGATACTCCTTCGGTGTCTATAGCTAAAAATGCTGGTAGTCTATCATCCTCAATACTCGAGACAGTTAACTCACTATAAACTATTATTGTAGGCTCATCATGAGGTGCTGCTGTGAAGGAATGCGCAGGCTGACCTAAGTTTGGATCAAATCGTGGGGCTGAAAGTAACGATATAGCGCACTATTCAATTTTTTTTGTACATAAACGAATCATACTGTATTTCCCTCTTGATTTTTCGTAGGGTTCCCAATGTCCCTTGTTATGCCTTCATAGTTTTATGTAGACTTTTTTTAATATGTTTCTTCAGCGCTTGTTCTCGTTCGAGCTAAGGCACCAGCAACTTGCACTTGGACATGGCTTCTACACAGGAATTGGCTTGCGTTTACGCTGCTCTTATTCTCCAAGACGAAGGAGTCCCAATCCTCGGAGAGAAGATCTCCACCATCCTCAACGCCGCCAAGATCGAGTTCGAGCCTTTCTGGCCAGGACTTTTCGCCAAGGCTTTGGAAGGAGTCAACGTTAAGGTTTGTGGCTAGAGAGTTGGATACAGTGTTATTCTACTAAATTTTAGGAAATGATCACCTCCGTTTCATCCGGAGTTGGATCAGGCCCAGCTGCCGCTGCCGCTCCATCTGCTGCCCCAGCCGGAGGAGCCGCTGCCCCAGCTGAAGACAAGAAGAAGAAGGATGAGCCTAAGGAGGAATCCGACGACGACATGGGATTCGGACTTTTCGACTAATTTCTGAATAGTTGTTGTTGATTTATCTTGATGATAAAGTTGTTGCTTATCGTTTTGCGAGTTTGATTGAAGATGTTTGGGCTCTTGACTCCCTTAAAAAATTTGAAATTTTTTTATAAACGAGAATGGGGAGTGAACTTTATATTTTGATAAAAAGTGCTTGTGATCGGTGGAGTTGGGCACTTGATAGGAAATGTCTGTTTTCGTTGCGACATTGAGTGCGTCTTAGTCGCATCGAAGCAGTCTCATAATGCATAGATCGTTTCTTTCTTTTATCATGAATTAACTAAGTTTTGCATCCTTCGCGAAGTCTTCTTCTAATCCTGATTAAGCAGTGGTCACTTACTGATAATGAAATACTCCTAGGTGTTATCAATATTATTTCGATTCTAGAACTGACCCTTTTCATCAAGTCGGTTACTGTCTTTTAAAATATTTTAAAAAAGATTAGCAACTCATGGTTCACCAGAAAGGGCGGGTCTTCGAGCCCTGACTAGAAAAAGTTTTCATATAGCATATCACTACTCGATTCTCGTGCTTTTAGGAGAGGGTTGCTTGTTTCTTTTATTGTTTTTCTAATCAAGTGTTTCAGATCTATTGACACAGCTTTTTTTTTGTAACCTTATTTTTTGTGTATACTCCTTCCTATTCGAATCGATTGTGAAGTGTTTTTTCTAAATGTTGTTATTTCAAATCTTTTCGGTTTCGTCCGCAAATGTACATCAAATTTTTCATTTGCAGTATCGCTCACCTAAGTGCGGTTGTTCTTTAGCATTGATTGTGGGCTGCGCTTAGATTTGTTCAGATTCAACTGAATAGTTCCATTCGAAATTAATCTTACGAAACGGCGGAATACTTTTCAGTCTTTCTTTCTCAAATTCAGTTTATCAAGCTTTCGACGTGAACGGTTTTTATGAATCGGAGAAGTTACTGCTGCTTTCCATTCGTTATGTTTCATCGGCTTTCATAGTTTCTTCTTTGTCTATCATCTTTTTAGTTCCATTCATATCCTTACGTTAGTATCTTCCATTGTCCCAACTGCTATCTCTGCAGTTTTATGAGAGCTGAAAGATAGCCTGTTCTTTTGTTGCCAATTATTTTTGAAACAGAAATAGAGTGATTTCTGTTTTTACCAAATATCGAGAAATTGTTTGTAAGTCAAGGGCTCAAACCGGTAATTGTTTCCAATGTAATCATTTTGATTTGTTGGTCTACAACATATTCCCGAAAGAACTTATTTTTCGTTAAAGCGTGGGATTCCACTTTGACACGCCATTTCCTTATCTTTCTGTCTCAATTTTTTCCAAATGTTATTCTTATGATTCTTATCTTAATGAGGAATGGCTATTCGAACTGGCCATTTGTACGAGATAAAAAGCTTCAATGGACTGTTTAAGATGCCCTTTTTTCATTTGATCAATCGTTTATTTATTCCGAACCTTGATTTAATAGTTTCAGAATTCATCCGATGCACTGGGAAACAATGAAAGCTACTCTGTATCTGGATGATGGCTCTACCTTCGCTGGTCAGTTGTTCGGAGCAACTAAGAGCGTAGTTGGTGAAATAGGTACTTTACTTCTGTTTTCGCTTCTCTCATTCAAACTTTCAGTTTTCCAAACTGGAATGGTCGGATATATTGAATCGCTCAGCGATCCTAGTTACGCTAACCAACTCCTTACCCTAACATATCCATTAGTTGGTAATTATGGAGTGCCGAATCACGAATTAGTTGACTCTTTCGGATTACCGGCTCATTTTGAATCTGATCGTGTTTGGCCTGCTGCACTAGTTGTTGATAGGTAAGATGATTTATCAGCTATTTGATAATGAAGAATCTTTAGACTTTGCCCAGAAGGAGAGCATAGCCACGCTGAAGCCGTGGAATCCCTTAATCAATGGCTTAGTCGCTCTGGAGTACCTGGAATTTCGGGCATTGATATTCGCATGTTGACTAAAAAAATAAGAGAACAGGGAACAATGAAAGCTAAAGTTGTTTCTTTCATCAGTTTTCATAATCATTTGCCTGTTTTTCAGCTTGTTATTGAAAGTGATGACCCTTTGAAGTATGAATTCAGAGATATTAATCAAGATAATCTTGTAGCTCATGTATCTCGTCCGGTGCGTGAGCTTCTAACGGAACTTATTTGAGAAATTTTTATACAGATAATCAGCCAGTTTGGAAATGGACCTCTTACTATTATTGCTGTTGATTGTGGTCTTAAAAACAATCAAATTCGTTGTTTGGCTAAGCGTGGAGTTACAGTCAAAGTAGTACCCTGGGATCATCCAATTGATACTGAGAAAGGTATTGTATTCCTTCAGTAAATGTATGACATTGTTTGATGAAGATTACGATGGTCTCTTCATTTCCAATGGTCCTGGTGATCCAGAAGTTTGTTCTTCTCTGGTAGATAAGATCGCTAAGATTGTGAAGACTACCGAGAAGCCTATTTTTGGTATTTGCCTTGGTCATCAGTTGTTGGCTCGTTCTACAGGAGCAAACACTTATAAATTAAGGTAGTCTCGAAGGTTCAGTGCAAAAACTCATAAAACTTCTATTAGATATGGTAATCGTGGTCATAATCAACCCTGTACTCACGAAGGAACTGGGAGGTGTTTCATTACATCTCAGAATCATGGCTTTGCCGTTGATCCTCTCAGTTTACCGGAAGACTGGAGACCTTTGTTCACTAATGAAAATGATAAAACGAACGAAGGAATTGTTCATAGAACTAAGCCATTTTTCAGGTATGTCTAAGTTTCTCTTACAAAGTTAATGCGTTACACAGTGTGCAATTCCATCCTGAACATACTGCCGGTCCCACCGACTGCGAGTTTTTGTTCGACATATTCGTGGAAGCAGTCCAAAAAACAGCTAAAAAAGAGAAAGTCAGGTACTTCTAGAGACAATGAAATGGACATAAGTACACATCTCATTTCAGTGTTGATAAGATGATCCACGAACATTTATTGTTTGATAGCAAATATTCCGTAAAAGAACAGAAGAAAGTTCTAATTTTGGGTTCTGGAGGTTTAACTATTGGACAGGCTGGAGAGTTCGATTACTCTGGTGCTCAGGTAAGCTTGTGGTTACGGCTGATATCAGTAGAGGTTTTAGGCTTTGAAAGCTTTGAAAGAAGAGGGTATTCGCACTGTGCTCATTAACCCAAACGTTGCGACAGTTCAAACTTCCAAAGGTTTCGCGGACTACACTTACTTCCTTCCCATAACTAAAGAATATGTCACAGACGTATGTTCATTTTTTGAACATTACTCTTAGTTTCGTATGTTGCAGGTTATAAAGAAAGAAAAACCGACTGGAATTTTATGTACTTTCGGTGGACAAACTGCTCTCAACTGTGCCATAGATCTCTACAAAGATGGTGTATTCGAAGAGCATAATGTACAGGTTCTAGGAACATCGATCCAAACTATTATGAATACGGAAGATCGAGAAAGATTCAATTTTGAAATTAATACCATCGGAGAGAAGGTACTTAGTACAAACAAGTACTTTAATATGTCATGAATGCTTAGGTTGCACCTAGTCAGGCGGCTACCACATTAGAAATGGCCATTGAAGCAGCAGAGAATATAGGCTACCCTGTCTTAGTCAGAGCAGCTTTTGCTCTTGGGGGTTTGGGTTCTGGATTTGCTAATAATCGGGCTGAGCTTATTAATATTGCTCAGCAAGCATTGGCTCATTCTGATCAAGTTCTCATTGATAAAAGTTTGAAAGGCTGGAAAGAGGTATACGATCTTATTAAAGATATGTTGTTTTATTGCGCACTTAAGGTTGAATATGAAGTAGTTAGGGATGCTTACGACAACTGCATAACTGTATGTAACATGGAAAATGTTGATCCTCTCGGAATTCATACTGGTGAATCTGTAGTTGTTGCTCCTTCTCAAACACTCAATGACAATGAGTACAATGCACTTCGTACATGTGCGATTAAAGTTATTCGGCATTTGGGTATAATCGGAGAATGTAATATCCAGTATGCTCTGAATCCTGACAAACTCGAAGTAACTCACTCATTCTATAAGTGCTGCAAAACTTTTTTTAATTTTCAGTTTTACATTATCGAAGTTAATGCTCGTCTGTCTCGATCGTCTGCCTTAGCTTCCAAAGCTACAGGCTATCCGCTAGCTTACGTGGCTGCAAAGTTAGCTCTGGGCCAGAAGCTGCCTGTTATCCGAAACAGTGTCACTGGTATCTAAAAAATGCTAAGGTATATCATTATTCTTTTGCAGGAGTAACAACAGCTTGCTTCGAACCGAGTTTAGATTACTGTGTGGTTAAAATTCCAAGATGGGATTTGAGTAAATTTGCTCGCGTAAGCACACAGGTGCAGATATTCGTATATTTTTTGTTCAATTTCTAAGCTTATTAGATTGGTAGCTCAATGAAATCCGTTGGAGAAGTTATGGGAATCGGACGGTCATTCGAAGAGGCTTTCCAAAAGGCTCTGCGTATGGTCAGTGATCGCGCCGACGGTTTTTCTCCTAGTACCTTCCATAGACGTCCTGTTGATGATGTAAGAAAAATAACTTCTAGTTCCATGTTATATTGTTTGCTTGCAGGATTTGGAGAATCCTACAGATCGTCGCATGTTTGCCATCGCTCGAGGACTCTTCTATGGGGACTTTGATGTTGAGCGTGTTTTTCAACTAACTTCTATTGATAGATGGTTCTTGTACCGTATGAGGAATATAATTGATATTCATCATCGATTGGAGAAAGAATCTGTAAGAGAATAGTTCGTCGATATGTCTTATTTGGTTCTTCGCAGATTCACACTCTTCACAGGCCTTTATTATTGGAAGCGAAGCAAGCCGGCTTCTCTGATAAACAGATTGCAAATCGAGTAAACAGGTATTCCTCCAATCTTAGTCTTGGAAAATTTAGTTATCTTTCCAGTACTGAATGGTCTGTGAAAGAATTGAGAAGCAGAGAAAAAGTATTGCCTTGCGTTAAGCAAATCGATACAGTCGCTGGAGAGTGGCCAGCCCAAACCAATTACTTGTATTTATCATATAATGGCGAAGAAAACGATGTCTCATTCAACTTAGTATGAGACATATTGACAGAGCACACTTTCGAAATGATTTTTTTTCTAGAAAAATGGAGTAATTGTACTCGGATCTGGAGTTTACCGAATCGGTTCATCTGTAGAATTTGACTCTTCTTGTGTGGGATGTTTGAGAGAACTCAAAGCGTTAGGATATTCTACAATCACTATCAACTGCAATCCTGAAACAGTGAGAATTAAATCTTCTCCTTATTTATTTAAAATTTTATAGGTGTCTACTGATTATGATATGTGTGATAGATTATACTTTGAAGAGATATCCTTCGAAACAGTAATGGATGTTTATCAACAAGAAAAGCCCAAAGGAGTTATTTTAGCTTTCGGAGGCCAAGCTCCGAACAATATAGCTATGAGTTTGAGCAGAGCACAAGTAAAACTCATTCATCAGTTATGGAGATAAATTTTTTTCTTAGATCAATATTTTCGGAACGTCTCCAGATGATATAGATAATGCTGAAGACAGATTCAAATTCTCGCGTATCTTGGAGGGGCTTCGTATAAGCCAACCTCAGTGGAAAAATACTGAGAACATAGAAGATGCTAAAGTATGAATAATAGTTTCAAACAGTAGTTTACTATAAATTACGTTGATTTTAGAAATTCTGCGCCAATGTTGGCTACCCATGCCTTATAAGACCTTCCTACGTTTTATCAGGAGCAGCGATGAATGTAGCCCACAATGAAGTTGACTTAGCCACTTTCCTGAAACAAGCTGCTGTTGTTGCTAAAGAACATCCTGTTGTTGTTTCCAAGTTCATAAGTGAAGCGAAAGAAATTGATGTCGATGCTGTTGCGATGGACGGCAAAGTTTTGGTTATGGCTGTCAGTGAACACGTTGAAAACGCTGGAATTCATTCTGGAGATGCGACTTTGGTAACTCCTCCTCAAGATATGAATCAGGTACAGTATACTAGAAGCTTCGATTCGATCCCGTTGGTTTTGCAGGTTACCCTACAAGGTATCAAAGAGATAACTTTCCGAATCGCCGAGGCTTTCAGTGTTAACGGTCCGTTCAATATGCAGTTGATTGCCAAAGTAATTTTTCTTCTCTTATTGTTATATTGTTCTTGTTCTAGGATAATGAACTAAAAGTAATCGAATGTAATCTACGAGTGTCTAGATCATTCCCCTTTGTGTCGAAAACTCTCGATTTTGATTTCGTTGCCCTTGCTACCCGTGCCATGATGTCAGCAGAAAATCCTTTGCTGAAAGCCAGTATAAAATCACATCCAGTTCTGCGAGGCAAAGGCCGAGTTGGAGTAAAAGTGCCACAGTTCTCATTCTCTCGTCTCGCGGGAGCTGATGTTATGTTAGGTGTTGAGATGGCTTCTACTGGTGAGGTATGTATTATCGTGTGAACTTGTATCGCATACATTAATATAGGTTGCTTGCTTTGGTACGAACAGACAAGAAGCGTATCTCAAAGCACTTTTGTCTACTGGTTTCGTTGTGCCCAAGAAAACTATCTTCATTTCTATTGGAGGCTACCACGTTCGTTCTTGAAACTAGATCATAGAAAGCATCGTATATTCAGGCCAAAGCTGAAATGTTGAGTAGCATTAAAGTTTTAGACAAACTAGGGTTCGAACTATATGGATCTAAAGGAACTGCTGATTATTTCGTGTCTTGTGGAGTGAATGTCAAGGCTGTGGATTGGCCATTCGAAGAAGGATCAAGTGATGAGAAGACTAGTGCAGGATCAAAGTAATGAACCTTTTTTTTTACAAACTCAGTTCTCTCCAGGTCTGTAGCAGAGTTCTTTGAATCGAAGGAATTCCATCTTGTAATCAACTTACCTATCCGTGGATCAGGAGCTTATCGAGTTTCTGCTTTTAGGTAAAATAATAGACATTTCTGGATGAATACTCCTGGTTCAGAACGCATGGTTATAAAACCAGAAGAATGGCTGTAGACAATGGTATACCACTCATTACTGATATAAAGTGTGCTAAAATGTTTATCCAGGTATTGATTAAACTATATATTTTATTAGAGAGATTTAAGGCTCTGCACATGGTTGGTCGTAGACCTGCTTTGAATGGTCAGATTGATTGCATTGCTGGAAGATCTTTGAAACGTTTACCTGGATTGATTGATGTACATGTTCATGTTCGAGAGCCTGGTGCTACTCATAAGGTAACGTGAAGAGAGTTGCAGTTTAAAGTCTTGCTAATTTCAAGGAAGACTGGGTAACCTGCACAAAAGCTGCTCTCTGTGGAGGGGTTACTCAAATTCTAGCTATGCCAAACACAAATCCTTCATTGGTAGATAGTGAGACCTACTTGTTGACTGACAAAGTATGCTATACCGGTTTCTTGTTTCTATGAAGGAAGTTTAGTTAGCTGCGGCCGGAGCAGTTGTAGATTATGCATTATATGTTGGAGGTACTCCTAACAATAGTCGAGCAGCAGCTGAATTAGCTTCTAAATGCGCTGGTTTGAAAATGTATTTGAATGAAACATTTAGCACCCTCAAAATGGAGTCTGTTTTTGACTGGATGAAGGTTTCATTCTAATAGGCTTGCTGTTGGATAATTATTCTTTTTGAGCATTTGGAAGCGTTCCCTTCTTCTCGACCAGTCGTTTGCCACGCTGAGAAACAAACTCTTGCTTCTGTTTTATGGGCTGCTCAAATGGCAAATCGTGCAGGTATGGGGATTTGAACACTTCTTCACTTTTAACTTCAACTATTTTTTAAGTTCACATTTGCCATGTAGCCACAGCCGAAGAAATACATATCATCAAGCTCGCCAAAGAAAAAGTGAGACTTCTATATAGATTTTGAATACTGTTTGTTAGGGTTGTCCTGTTACATGTGAAGTAGCTCCACATCATTTGTTCCTAACTTTGGATGAATTGCCAGATGGTATCCGCGAAGTCAGACCTCGGCTAGCGTCCGAAAGAGACCGCGAAGCTCTCTGGGATAATCTAGATGTCATAGATTGTTTCGCTACAGATCATGGTCTGCGTTAAATTGATGAAAAATGTCTATCATCACTTTTTAGCTCCTCACACTTGGAGCGAGAAAACATCAGAAAAAGTCCCACCTGGTTTCCCTGGTGTTGAATACATGCTGCCACTTCTCTTAACTGCTGTTGCACATGGCAAACTTACATTGAAGTTTTTTTTACAATTATCCTCAAAAGCTGAAGATACTCTTTAGACAATTGCTAGACCGTTTGTATTACAATCCCAAGAAGATTTTCAAACTGCCAGAACAGCTTGATACTTACATTGAAGTTGATATGAACTGCGAATGGACTATTCCCAAACATGGTGGTCAGAGTAAAGCCGGATGGACTCCTTTTGAAGGGAGAGCCGTGAAGGGAAAAGTAGTCAACGTTGTCATTCGTGGAGTAGACGCATTGGTGGATGGAGAGATAGCAGTGAATCCAGGCTTCGGATTGAATCTGCGTACTGCTTTAGATGGACAAAAGTTCTCTCAAGTTGACGTTGAAGGTACAATCGGAACTGTCGAGATATCTTGTTACCTTTCTTTATTACAGAAGCAGAAGTTCTCACCGATATTCGAGAGAACAATGAAATGATAGCAAGTGTGAGCAGCACCAGCTCATCTTTGGGAACTCCTCCACGTGCTCTCTCACCTGAGATTTCAATGACTTCGCTGGCTGGCATGCATTTTATTTCTGTTACAGATTTCACCAAACCTATGGTGCTTTCTTTCAATAGACTTTGCTTCATTTTTTTGTTTCAGCTCAATCGCATATTCGAGGTAGCCGATCGATACAAAACAGATGTAGAAAAACATCACTCGTTGACTCATATTCTTCAGGTTGCTAACATTATCTCACTTGTATAAAATTTGTTTCAGGGATATATTATGGCATCACTGTTTTATGAAGTATCAACTAGAACATCTTGTTCGTTCGCTGCAGCCATGCAAAGGTTGGGAGGAAGTGTCATTTCAATTGATAGTGCTTCCTCTTCAATTCAAAAAGGAGAGTCTTTGGAAGATACTGTTACAATTATGGGAAATTATGCTGATGTTGTTGTTCTCCGTCATACTGAACAAGGCGCAGCTAATAGGGCGTCTGCTGTTTGTCGACAACCTTTAATTAATGCTGGTGACGGAACAGGCGAACATCCTTCTCAGGTTGAGTTGTTCAATATTCTTCAACGCTTTTTCTTCATTCAAGGCCCTGTTGGATATTTTCACTATTCGTCAAGAAATAGGAACAGTTCATGGTATAACCATAGCCTTGGTTGGAGATTTAAAGAACGGTCGAACTGTTCATTCATTGGCCAAGCTCCTCTGTGTTTATAAGGTATACAATTACAGAAAAAATAACTTTAGTTTTTTCTCGATTTAGAATATCACTATACACTATGTCAGCCCTAATAAGGATTTGTCAATGCCTGAAGAAATTAAAGAGTATGTCAGAACACACAGCAGCTTTGTCCAGGTAAACTAAAAGAAAGAAGAATCACTTTTCACAAAAAAACGGATTGCAGCGAGACTTCTTTGATCTGGCCGAAGGAATCAATCACGTTGATGTCGTTTATGTAACCAGAATACAGAAGGAGCGGTTTGCTAGTGAAGTAGTAGTTGTTTCTCAGTTTGGATGCTTTTACATCTATTTCAGAACGAATACAACAATGTTCGTGGTAGCTACGTATTGACTCCGAAAATTCTAAATGAAGCTGCTCTTGATCAAGAATTTGGAAACATTTTAGGACCCGCACAGAGATCTAAACCTATCGTTATGCATCCTTTACCACGTGTTGATGAAATCAGCAGCGATCTTGATCATGATGATAGAGCTGCTTACTTCCGGCAAGCCAAAAATGGAATGTATGTGCGAATGGCTATATTAGCTTTAACTTTGGGACGTGCTTGAGAATGTCTGTATTATTGAGTTTTTGTTTACCTCGAGCTTATTATACGAAAGTATCTGTTATTTGTTGGTTTTTGAAATTGTTGCGATAAATCGTCTCTAGAAAAGCATTCGGTGTTAACACGCTTAGGGTCTCTTCAAGGTTGTTATACTTGATACAAGTGCTGGATATATGTAGATATGTATGACTAGAGTTTGCGAAAATCAGATTAAAATCACCGCGATCATCAACCACGATGACGTTCTTTATGTTCATAGTTTGAACTCAATTGGTTGTTGAGTAGGATTCTTTTATAGTTTGTTATTGTTTATCTGAAAGGTTTCGAAAAAATCCTCTCGCGCGCGCGCGTGATCTACTGACTACAACAGACGGTTGTGATCGCTTCTTCATAGATTTCGTCAACTTTTTATCTTTTTCCACATAACCCTTATCCTTTTGATCTAGCCACTTAGGTCACTGCCCTGTTTCTTGAAGTTCTGTGTGTGAAGTGATGCGCTGAACCTTATCTCATATTCTTGTTAGTCAAATCGTAGGAAGAAATTAATTAGATTGTTCTCAGTGTTGTATCTCTTCACTATTCTGATATTCAACCTTCTTCCTTCTCTGCTTCTCTTACAATCGCAGGCTTTGACAAACACTGCACGGCCAATGATGTTTCTTGAATTAGTTCTATGCGAGATATAAGTTCGATCCAAATGATCCGCCGGTCTGGTACTACTTTGATTCCCTAAAAGTCATCTCGTAGATGTTTCTTGAAGTTGTTGTATGCGAGATATTAGTTTGATCTAAAAGATTCTGTTTGTCTAGAACTACTTTGATTCACTGAACCTTATCTCAGAGATGTTTCTTGAAGTAGTTCTGTGGGAGATATTAGTTCGATCTAAATGATCCTGCGGGTCTGGTACTACTCGGGTACCCTGAACCTTACCTCAGAGATGTTCGTTAAAGTAGCGTGTCAAGGGATTCGCTGAACCTTATCTCATATTCTTGTTAGTCGAATCATAGGAAGAAGTTTATTAAATTGTTCTCAGTGTTGTATCTCTTTACTGTTCTGATGTCCAACCTTCTTCCTTTACTGTTTCTCTTACAATCGCAGGCTTTGACAAATACTGCACGGCCAATGATGTTTCTTGAATTATTTCTATGTGAGATATAAGTTCGATCCAAATGATTCTGTTGGTCGAACTGTTCATTCGTTGGCATTACTTTGACTCGCTGAACCTCGTCTCATACCCTTCTGAGTCTAACCGCAGGAAAACTCTATTTAATTCTTCTCAGTGTTGTACCTCTTACTATTCTGATTTCTAAACTTCTTCCTTTTCCGTTTTTTTTATTATAGCCCAGCCAATACTTTGTTTCCAGTAGATACGTTGCCATTCCCAGAAACATCTTTTGGCATGTTACAAACTCGGGAGGACGGTGATTGCTGTTATACTCTCAGGTTATTTTGGAATCGAAAAGAGGAGTGAAAGATTTATTATAGTTCATTGAACAAGGATACGGAGGAGGATTTACCCCCCTAATGTACTCGGAGGCCACAGAGGGCCAAGTATATTAGGGGAAGAGGAGGG